ATGTGCTTTATCTCAGATAACCCACAATGCCGAAACTGAAGCCCTGATGAGGCTCTGTAAGGACATGCACCAGGTTGAATCTACAGCTACTCAAGACTCAGTTGTGGTCAGTCTAAACAAAATCTGACCTCAGGGGATGACACAGAAGTGGTTATTGTGGCCAAGGTGCTGCCTGCTAAGACTCTGTACGTGATGCTGAGCTCGGAGATGAGGCTTTATGCAAACAGGAGCCAGTTTCATTGTGCTGTACAGCACCATTACATGGAGCTCCTTGTGAGATTGCTGCCATGTTCTTTGGCACAGTTTGACTCAGTGATATCTTTGAGATGTTGTGTTTGTTTGTTTGTTTTTAATCAGAGCTATTGTAAAACTAGATTGACTTTTATCTGCTAAACCCCAATACCAAGACAGTAAAATGGATCTCAATTTGTTTTTGTTTTTGTTTTTCCAAAAAGTAAAGCAAAGCCTGTGCCTTGCCATGATGGGTACATCCTGGTCCAGGGTTTACAAGCCAAGCACCACCAGACTGTGAATTATGGGAACCAGTGAGGCTATAGTTCTCTGCCCAGAATAACTGAAAGGGTCCTGAAAAGATGGTCTTGTTGTTAAAGACGTGGCCAAGGATATCAGGGTCTTCCCAGGCAAATGTGGTGGAGCCCTGCTATCATTGCTATCTCAGTCACCACAGTCTGTGGAGGGTGGATAACGATAGCACCAGCTTCCCATTAGCAGTGGGGCATTATCTGAGTGCAGATTGACGTTGCTGGGAGTGCAGCCACACCTGGAGGGGCTCCTGCAGCCCTGCTCAGCCCAGAACTGCCGTCCTGCTGCAGAACCCTGCTGCGTGGCAGCAAAGCTTTGTTTCCTGGCACCGAGCCTAAGCTAACAGCTTCTGCCAAACCTCAAGTGAAAAATACATCGAGTTATCCTCGCTTTTCTTCTGCAAGAGCCCCTCCTGCCCTCCACCTGGGCAGCAGAGATTTGACTGCTTCGTTTCACCCAGCTTTTGTCTGCCTGATCCCATTCTTTGGGGCAGGAGCTGCCTTCTATCCAGTTTTGGTTTGATGCCTGGAGCTCCTGATCTTGCTCACTGCTGTCACCGCTATTGTACTGCAAATAATAGAAGTCATTGAGATGCAATAGGTGAACTGCAGGCAATAACAAGCACAATGCATCTGGGTGCAGCATCCTCAAGCAGTGATATAAGGGTGTCATTAATAGTCTAGCTGAAGGGCAGCTTTACTTTGTGTTAGATATTTTAATTACGGAACTGCTTCCCGGTTAGGAGTGAAGCTAGTTTACTTCCACTGGGCTGCGCTTTAAATCATCCCGCAGCTTTCTTGGTAAGACACCGATCTCCTTGAACTTCACACACCGTAACTCAGCAGGGGTGCAGTTTCCTTGATGGGGAAGATCAATAAATGAGGTTTATCCAAGGCTGCGGTATAGTAAAGCTGTGTCCGGCCTCTGTGGCTTCCACCCCCGGGTGACTCCGCAGTAACCTGGGTGGGCTGGCCTGGCCATGAGGAGCCAGCCTTGGCAGGGAGCATTGCGGGCAGGGTTTGTAGGTAAATGTGAGCACGTTTACCCCTGGCTTCACAGGGCCGAGCCCGAGGTGAGGGGCAGGAAGCCTGGAGAGGAGCCAGGTGGCAGAGCAGGGTGCCGAGGGGGCGGCAGAAGCGGGACTGGTGGCAGGAGAGATGGGGTCTGTGTGTTCTGCAGAGATACAGAAGTTCAAAAGAACTGTTACCTAATCACAAGCTCCATTTCCCGGCATCTGTTAGCCAGAGACCACGGCATTTCTCTCAACAAAATGTGTTTACTGCCATAGAGAGATTTTCTCCCCCTCCCTCACAAGAGTCTCTTGTGGCGAGCAGGCGTGAGGCGGCCATGGCTCATGGTGGTACAGGGCCTGCACCTCGCCAGAGACCTGACAGGCAGCATATGACCGAAATAACAGCACAAAAACCCACACCTCCAGTCCAAAGACATTCTGAGGAGCCTTGCTTTTTAACTGTTGTTGTGACTTCACAGGCTGTTTGGTTCTGTCAGCCTTTTTAATCAAAATAACAGGGGGCATCGAGGCTGTTTACCCCCCAGCACTGCAAACACCACAGTGCATTTTCAGCGGCAGTAACAGGACGGGCAAAACACACCACAAGAAGACTTGCTTGCAGCAGGATCCACATCCCTGCAGACCCATTTCATAATCACCTGCTCTGTTACCCTGAACATTGATTCCTCTCCCCGTGGCCGGGAGCCAGAGATGTGTCTCTATTGCAGGGTAACAGTTTGTGCACACAGGTTGTTGGAAAGGAGGGGGTTGCGTAGGCAGGAGAGCCTGTTAAGCTAAACAATAGCTCTGGCCCTAGAACAAATAGCGCTGGCCACAAATAAATCTAGGTGGAGCAAGAAAGTTTCTTAAAAGAGAAGCGGTGAACTTTTGATAAAGTGCCCGATAAAAAAGGGGAAAAAAATCTTTTGAAACAGAGCTGGCGTATTTACTGTGTGGTTTTGTGGCTTGGTTGGTTGTGGATGAAGAGGACTGGCCTTGCTATGTTGCTCTCAAGCCTTCTCAGGATCAGGGCACAAGGGTTGGCATTGACCTGAGCTCCTACCATGAGGTTGTTCTTCACTTGGAGAAGTTCTGGGTGATCTCTTCTCCATCCTCACCTACGTGTTTCTTTTTGCAGTTGGCAGGCCCTGTCTCCTCTCTCACTCATTCCCTATGGCCCTTTTCTAATTTTATTCCCTCGTCTTTGCAGTGGAGTGAGCAGAACTGCAGTGTGCTGTTCAGTGTATGGGCTTATACAGTGGTATATTGGGTTTTTGTGTTGTTTTGCAGTGACTGTGATACATACAGGCTATACCTGATGCAGGTGAGTGTGCATAGGTAGCAGCCTTGATTAACCCGCCTGACCTGACCTGCATAACCAAGTCAGCCTTCAGGCGTACAAATCCTTCCATGGGTCTGGAACAGAAGCAGAAACCTTCAAAGCGAAATATGAATAATTCTCTCTTACTCATCCAGCCCATGAGAGGAAGTCTACGTGATATGTAGAAAGCAGAGAAGAGGTGTTCTTAAAGGGGAAGAAAGCTTGTCTCTTCTTGGCACTTGTTTATCTTCCAAGAGCACTTCTTCCACATACACGTATCTTTTGACTCTTGGTGAGAGAAAAGGAGAGCAGACAGAGAATAGTGAATTATAATTTTTAAGGTCCATCTTCTGAAGGTGTTTGTAGGCTTTCCATGAGGAACGGGGCTGAGAGACCAGAGATGGCAGTGGCTGTTGTGTCAGAAATCTCCCTGCCTGGTAACTCTGGCTGTGTTTGCAGTGTGACTATCAGGGAACCCTGAGCTGGTACCTGCAAAGAACTGTGGCTCTCAGATCTTTTTTTTTTTTTTTTTTCCTGAGTGTTTTTAACAAATTTACAGCTCATTAAAGCATACTGATAGGGCTTTTTATATGCCCATATGCTGCACTTGGCATGTGCCAGCAGTCAATTTTGGTGCTCAAGCACTTTGAATGAGGAGATCCTTCTGCACATTTCTCATAATAAAGATTGACTGTACTAAACAATTATCACCCATAAACTCAATCTTCTCAGTATTCAATCCCTTTCCCAGCTCACTTATGAGCGTGTTGAACAACACAGATCCTTGGGGATATCCCTTGACAACCCATTCCCATTATGAAAATTATTTATTTACTCTTACCCTTTGTTTCCCATTGGTAACTATTCATGCAGGAGCACCCTTCCTCTTTGTACCAATATTGCTTCAATCCCAGAAGAGCATTTTCAAACATTTTTAGAGCATTTTTAAACATAAAGAACATTTGCAAAAGCCTATGAAAAACAAAGCCTAGTGACTAGGTCACCCTGTCCGAGTGGTCACCTTCACTTTCAAAGACCTACATCAGCTGTAAGGCCAGACTGTACTCTGCCAAAACCAACTGTCTCTTTCCCAGTATATCACGAGGCTGTTAATTCTGCTCTTTATTATCATTTCTACCAGTGTGCCCAATAGCAAAGCCATGTGTCCTGGTCCATAAGTTCTCCAGGCCATCTCCGGAGCACTTTAAAAGTATGGTGTCACATTTGCTATTTGCCATTCTTTAAGCACGAAGGCAGATTTTTGTAGGTGACACATCCCATGAACAGCCTGGCAGTTCCCTGATTGAGCTTCTCCTGACCTCCAGGCTTGGCTGGCTTGCTGCTGTTGAATTCATTGATCTGCTTAAAGCCCCTTCATGGTCTCAATATCTAATCTGTTACAGAGAGCAGAGTGTAACAGGGCAAAATTCATTAATGTTTGTAAAGCTCGTCAAGATCTTTCATGAGCAAATCTCATCATATTTTAATATATTGTTTTAAATGTCATGAGTAAGTTCTCATTATTCATTGAAGAGATGAAGCAAACAGACCCAAATATTGGAATAGGCAAAGGCTGCAACTCTCTTCATTTACCACTTCTAGGATGCTTTCATTTCACCTCAAACTCCTTGCCTTGATTCTGCTCCCACAAATCAAAAGCACCCCTTGCCACTCCCAAATGTGGGCTTTGAGATCCCCCTGGACTCCAGGGCTTTCAAGAAGATCTCTCCTGGTTCCTTGGGGTTCCAAGAGCTGCCATTGCTGGTGGCTGTTAGGATTGCTCTGGCTTTGTAGTGCGAGGTGAAGAACCACAAAGGACAATGAGTGCAGCCAGGTGTTTGATCACTCAAACCAGGGAAACTCGTTCCTAAAACCATCTCCGTGCGGTGTCTTGTCCCCCTCCAATGGTGGCTGGACATAACTGCACACATGCTGGCGGGTTTAGCAGATGGGTCCTGGGCTACTGGGACCCAGAGCTGTATCAGGGATTTCCTTCCTTGCCCAAGACCTCATGCACTTCTATTCATGCGGCATAACTACATTTTCCCCTTGAACACAGTTGTGGTCTGGGCATCTGCAAGAGCTTCACAGTGAACTTGCATTTCCCCTTGTTCTTCCCCCCAGGATGTCCGGAGGAGACATGGCCAAACCCCTCCTTGGCCACCGGAGCGTGGAGGGTGACCCCACGGCACCCGCAGCCGGCCGCACCATCGGGGTGCTGGGGAGCGGGGACTTTGCGCGGTCGCTGGCCATCCGCCTGGTGTGCTCCGGCTTCAAGGTGGTGGTCGGCAGCCGCAACCCCAAGCGCAAAGCCGGCCTCTTCCCTTCTGCGGCAGAAGTCACCTTCCAGGCTGAGGCGGTGAAGAAGACGGATGTCATTTTCGTGGCGGTTTTCAGGGAACATTACTCCACGCTCTGTGACCTGGCTGACGTGCTGGTGGGCAAGATCCTGGTGGATGTCAGTAACAACACCGAAATCAACCACCACAAAGAGTCCAACGCCGAGTACCTGGCCTCCCTGTTCCCGGCCTGCACTGTGGTCAAGGGCTTTAACGTGGTTTCTGCATGGACGCTGCAGTCAGGTGCCAGGGATGGTAATAAGCAGGTATTGTTTTCTCCTGGCAAGGGCTAAATCCACAGTATTTCAGCAGCTGAGGCCTGACTTCAACAGTAAATGGCCTGAGGCTCCCGCAGGTTCTGCATTTCTTTGCTCAGAAATGAAATACCCCACTTACTCCTTGCTTTGTAGTCTTTGAAGTCTCTGTGTAAGTGAAAAGTACTATTTATTTGTCTGCTTATCTAAACACAGACAGTAAAACAAACTGGTGGTGCACACATGAAAGGAAACCCGTCCAGGAGAGAGGTCCTTGGCAGCCACAGTAAATCCCCATCAGAAAGCCTGCCAAGAAGCAAGATGCTTGGTGATAACACGGGCTTCCTTTAGCATAGCAGCCCTCCCGCCACACTCGTTCCTGCAGCCTGATCTCTCTTTGCCCTGTGTGTATCCTTCCGTTTGTTGCAGGTCCTGATCTGCTCAAATAACCAAGAAGCCAAGCGCACCGTTGCAGAGATTGCTCAGGTCATGGGATTCACCCCCGTGGACATGGGCTGCATGTCCTCAGCCTGTGAGATCGAGAACATTCCCCTGCGCCTCCTGCCAGCCTGGAAAATCCCCATCTTTCTGTCTCTGGGGCTCTTTCTTTGCTTCTTCACGTACAACCTGGTGCGGCAGGTCATCCACCCGTACATCAGGGAGCAAAAGAACAAGTTCTACAAGATACCCATTGAGGTGGTCAACACCACGCTGCCCTGCGTGGCCTACGTCATGCTGTCCCTCGTCTACCTGCCCGGCGTGCTGGCAGCCTGCTTGCAGCTCTACTACGGCACCAAGTACCGGCGTTTCCCGGATTGGCTCGACCAGTGGCTCCAGCACAGAAAGCAGATCGGCCTCCTCAGCTTCTTCTGCGCTGCCCTGCACGCCGTGTACAGCCTGTGCCTGCCCATGCGCCGCTCCCACCGCTACCAGTTAATCGAGACGGCCGTCAAGCAGGTAACGTTGGCACCCTCCAGGTGTCAGCACCCCTAATAATCTTCTGCACACCTCCAGATGTCGGTTAGCAGGTTTCCTATCTCGGCCTTTGCACTCACTTTCCAAAGCACGTGGGGGAAGGAGCTGTTATCTCTGAGAGCACTTCTCTCACGAGGTAACTGTGCCACTCTGCGGCACGCCGCCCACCAGGCACACACCCGTCCATCCACACTGAGGACCACATTAGCAGAATGTTGTCCAGGCGTTTGCAGCCAGGTTTAGGATCAAAATCCCTCATGCCAGTGTGCCAGAGGAGCATAAAGAAGCCTTTGAATCCAGCATTGGCTAGCACCTGGCTTGCCTGAGGTTAGATGTCCAGAGGGATCCCTGTTTGCTCGCGCTGACAGTCACAGCAGATGCCTGCTGGAGCGACCAAGCCATAACCCTGAGGATTTGTTTATGTAGGAGGTGTGTCCTTGTTACAATGTGCCTCCAGGAGCATAACAAAATATTGGTGAAGAGCTGGTCATAGTCTAAGGGAACGAGGAAGTGTAAAAGTACTTTATTGCCTTGTTGAGGCTCTCGGCAGTGTTTATCCAGCGTGGGATTGCCAACCTTCAGGCAATCCAGCCAGCTCTGGAGCCTGGCAGTGCCATGGATCAGTGTGACTGCCCTTCCTCTGCCCCTGGCTTCTTGCTGCATCTCCCTGCTTCTCCTGGGATGTGCAGCTGAGAGGTGAACCAGATCGAGGAACTGCCCCCAACCCAGTCTCCTTTCTGTGCTGGGATATTTTCCAAGCGTTCCTCACTGCGGCCACCCAAACGCTTATCCCAGCACAGAGGAGGGAAGGGGCTGTGGAGGCAGCTAGGAGCAGGGTGGCTGGTTTTGGCAGCAGTGCCTGCTCAAAATATCCATCAGATGACACCCCCAGCCTCCCAGTTCCAGCCTGGCACAGGCCCTTTTCGATTGCCAGTTGCACATTAATCTCGGGCAAGCATCCTCTGTTCATTTCCCTTCTACCTCCTGTTTTCTAGCAACATCTTTGTTTAGTAAATTAAACCCATTTAATGGGCTAGAGAGGATGGTTCTAAATGTTGTTCTCTGCCATGCAGCATAAAGCCCATCTTCCTTTCCATTAGCATGAACAATTTCCCCCCCCAAAATGCACTTAAAATGAAGGTTATTAGGAGACTGCTGCATATTCAAGCATCTGTATTTGTTTTCATGGTTTTAAACTGAGTTCTTATTCCAATTATCTTTCCAAATGCAACTTTGGGGCTTGCTGCTGTGGTTACAGGCTGTGGGAGCTGTGATCATCCAGCAGTTCTTCCCAGCAGGCTTCAAATCTGACCTAGCTGGGACAAGCAGCAGGGGGATAAAAGAGCATTTTCACACCTCCCAAAAGGCAGAGGCCAGTAGCACCGGAGGTGGGTCTAGGAACCAGTGTTCATCCAGGGAATCTGCTCCCAGAACCCAAACAAATACAGATAAAAATCAATTCCTCTATTCCTAAGCGCTCCATTTTAACGAAACTTCATTGTCATGCCAGGCTGTGGAGAAGAAGATGAATATCTGGGTAGAGGAGGAAGTCTGGAGGATGGAGATTTATATCTCTGTTGGAATAATTGCCCTGGGCTTGCTGTCGTTACTTGCCATCACTTCACTTCCATCCATCGCAAACTCTCTCAACTGGAGGGAATTCAGTTTCATCCAGGTAAAGTTGACATTTGCCAATGTCACCGAGTGATTCTGCAGCCAGGGTCAGGCCCTCGCGTACCACGGAGGGCAGGGGTCGGCCTGCCATCCCCATGCGTGGCCCCCTCTGCCACTCCACACATCCCTGGTCGGGATGTGAGCCCGGCAGACACCTCGGGGCAGCGGGATGTGGTGCGTCCTGGAGACCACCCCGCTGTCACGCAGGATGTGTGCCGTCCGCTGCTGTGTCAGGGGAAGGGAAAATGTAACCCATCGTGTGCATCCATGTGGCGCTTAGTGGTGAGCTTTGCAAGAGTGAGTCTTTAATGTGCTGGCTGAAATTCTTCCTCACCCTGCTTCTAGCAGCATTAGCCAGAGATCCTGAGCAAAACCAGCCTGGACTTTGCCTGTGGGATGTCCCCATGCAGAGTCCTTGAGGCTCCTTTCCCCCTCACTCTGTGCCCCCGAGGAGCGCTGCTGTTCACAGGTTCACAGCTGAAACGCCCCTGAAGTCACACAAAGTAGAAAGGCAGAAAGCCTCAGGGCAGTTTAGAGAAGGCAGGGTTATTCCCTTCTGTGCTCAAGGTCCCCCGGGAGCTGGCCGTGTGTCAGCCATGCCCAGCAGGCTGGAGGTGCTGCGGGGAGTTTGCAGGCAGATAACAAGCCGGGGAGACAGCTGGTGCAGAACACGGATCCGAGTGATCAGTTAAAAGTCCCTGTCTTCTAAAATGTGAATTAGGACTATAAGGGTGGTTCTTCTTTCTCCAGATTTTCTCAGTGGTTTAGGAACCTTCTTCCCACTTGCAGAGATGTCCAGATCCCCAGAGTGACCTGAGTACCCTGTGTGGGACATTCCCAAAAGCTCCCAGCACAGGGACACACGTGGAGCCAGGCTTCAGGCTAACAGGGACAGCAGGAAATAAAACTTCTAATACCCTCTGCACTTGAGACCAAATTCACCAAATTCAGAGGCCTAGATCCCGTGATTAATTGTTCCTCCTACACTGCTGCTATTTAGCCTGCTCCACACTTCGGGTGATGCTGCAGTGACCAGCGTGGCACCCAGCACACACAAACCCCATGGGACACATCCCCCAACACCTCCCCTGCGGAGCCTCTCTACCCGTGGCACCAGTTCACGCCCAGGGATTAGGGGATGCAGGGTTAGGGCATGCGGAGGTGCAAATCTGTCACTCATTCTCCCCTGCTGAAGCTCTTCAGCTGCACATAAATAATTCAATATTCATTAGAGCAGGAGTTTGAAGCTTGCTCTCCCACAAGTGCCCTGATCTCCAAGCTAGCAAGTCAGTTAGGGTTTTTTGTGGGGGATTTTTTTTCAGTGTTTTTTTTTTTTTTTCCTGCTCTCTTGCTGTGGGCTGGTGAGTAATTATTTACACTGCGTAGAAGAGCCTCACCTGGAGAGCTCAACCCCAGGAGATTGTCCCTCGGGGAGAACAGAGATCTGGCTTTAAATATCTCTTTCAGACCGGACAACGGGAGCATATTAACGCTCACCATCACATCTCAGGGGAGGGCTGCAGCCGCCGAGACAGCGGATAAATTCCTGTCCTGGCTTAGGCATCTCATACCAGGAATCCCAAACGAAGGGAAAAACTTCCTTGCAGCCTGGAATGAGCTTTTGAAGCTCCCTGCATCTCCCTCTGGCTCCCCAGGCAGCTCTCCTGGTGGTGCTGGCGCTGTGTCATGTAACACGTACATTGTCTCCTACCCGTGCACCTCACACAACTGTCACATCTCTGCCCTCTGTGATCCCTTCCCAGCTCTCTCTAACGATATGTCAGCGGTGGCACCAAACAAATACGTGACACTGGGCTCCAAAATAGCTCTTGGCTGCCCCAGCTGCCTGGCTTAGGACATGGAAATACCACTCAGAGCTCTTTCTGTAGGTGCAGGATGAGGCATGGCAGCGCTACACAAGCCCCCAGCTGAGGACATGCAGGAGATGCACGGGTGGCATTGTGCCTGAAAGGGAATACAGGTCTCCTGGCGTGTTAGCTTCCAGCTCGTTAGTTTTTAATTAGAAATACTTTTTTTTTTCTTCCATAAGTTGGTGATACTTTTCTTAAGGAAATGAATTGGAGATAGGGGTGCTGCTCAGGACATCCAGCATGTGACCCTATTACAGTGCATCAGAGGCATCGTGGCTTCCCATAGAAAAGGGAGTAACTAGGTAACAGGAATGATTCGTATGCAATTCAACTTAGAGGAGACATTTTTAATGTTCCCCAGTGATTTACGAATCCAGTCTAATTGGCGCAGAAGTAAAACATGTATGATTGCCTTTACCTCCCCACCCTGAAAAGTCCTCCTGGAATCTGAAGGTTGAATTGACCTGGTTTCTTGCTTAGCTCCTGATTGCAGGATACAAAGAATCTGTCATCGGACCCTTTCTGGCATTCCTGTCAATGAAACCAGAGCCAGGGCCAACTTCCACACAGCTAATGACTTTTTAGGACTAATGGCAGGAGAAATCAGAAGCGTATTTGGGTCAGGAAGGGGTCTTTTGCTTCGGATGCTGCACTCATTTCTAAATGAGCCACGTGTGACAGAGTCACCTCTGCTGATGCATTGCAGGGAGCCTTCCGGACACTGAGGAGATGGAGGAGAGAGAAAAATCAATACAGAACAGAAAATGCATGCCAAGCCTGCATTAGGAAGATGCCATCCTCATACAGCCATCACTCTGAGGGCTTTAACACCTTCCCTGGCAGGCAGCCCCATATTCCCCACGCTGTGACAGTGCAAAAATCCCTGTTTAAAACATTAAAGCTTCACAGCCAGGAGCTGCGTGGAGAAGACAAACAAGACCAGAGCTTCCAAACTCAGGCAGTGTCAGGACAAGGCACGTGGGCAAATCGGCCCCAGCACGGGGCTCAGAGCTGCAATCTGCAAAAATTTTTTGGCATCTCACGTGCCTGCAGCTCGAGCCCTGCGCTGTGACAGCCTGCTGGGTGGCTGCAGCCGTGGGGCCGGTGTGCTCTGCAGAGCTGCCAGCCCCGTGTCCAGCTGCCAGCCCCATGTCCTGCTGCCACCCACTTCCCCCAATTTCTTACCAATTAGCTTTTTTGCTCCACGTGACCCGCTGCCTGCACACAAGGCTGGGTCACCGCGCGGCTGTGATGCTGTGGTGCCTCTCATCATACTAATTTCCACTTCTGCTCTTCCCTGCTGCCAGCAGCAGTTGAAAGAGAAACTGCAGAGGACCAAACTAATTATCTGCAGCTCTGCCGCACACACGAGCCCTGGCCGGACTGACCCCAAAGGCCACCCCTGCTGCCCGGTGCAGAAAGCACCTGCTGCCTTCAGACTGCACTGTCACCTCTCTCCCTGCCCCGTTTTACATCTGTGCTCTGCCAGATTAGTCTCACGCTGCTACTTCCAGCCTCTTTCCACCCAGGGATGTTCTGCCTGTTGGAGGGAAGCTAAGAGTCGATAAATGATGGATGAGCCACGGGTCGGTTCCCACTGTTAGGAGCGTTACCTCTTTCAGCTGCAATCGTGACACGTTCCAGCAAACACCTTCATTTTCCCAGTGAAACAAAGCTTGACCCTCTTGGGGTTTGCTGCCTGTTGTCACTTGGGCTTAGGACTTGGATGTGGCTTTGGGGAAGAAGGCAGCCTGGAAGACAGGGTGGGGATGCCCACAGGACAAGGTTCAGCTCGCAGGGCTGCTGCTGGCTCCGGGGATGACCTTGAGCAGCTCTCAGCTGTGGCACGGAGAGAAGAGCTCCCTAACTTGGCAGGGTGCTGGGAGGGTGACATCTTGGCTGGGCTTACAGGCACCCACATGACGGTCTGATAGGTGCTGTAAAAGTAAAGTACATTGATATGGGGCATATTTTAGAGCTCTCCTTTCCCTGCCCTCCCAGTCCTCTCAGCTGCCGAAATAATTTGCTGCGAAGGGTGGGGGAGACTCGATCTAGCTTGTTGTTAGCAGCACGGTGCACTTTCAAAAGTTATCTGGGTTTTAAAATGGTTTGTCAGTGACCACAAACAGGAAGGGATGTTTTGAAAGGAGACACTTTCCAGCTGAGATTTTTTTTTTTTTTTCAAGAGAATGTGACAGGTCCTTCCTCCTGTTTGCCCCGATCTCTGCTCTCCCTGCTGTGCGTTCTTTCCTGGACATACCTGCAGGGAGACAGCGTTTCTTGCTCATCTCTGATTGCAGCAAGCCAGGGATTTCAACTTCTAAAGGCTTCCTTCCCTAAGCTGGGGACATCAGCAGCGTGTGGTGACATTTTTCCTATCTGGTTATCTTGAAGGTTGGTTGTTATACAGGCTGAGGCCAGACAGTCAAAGCTGGGCAGCAGACACACACATTTGTGCACTACAATTTTGGACCCACGTTTTTCTTTGAAAGCACAGCCAGCGGCCCTGGGGAGGTGGCAGAGGTGTGTGGCTGGGGGAACCCTGGCAGCTGGAGCCCAGCTCGGATCAGACGAGAAATCACTGAGGGGACCAGTGGTGATTGCCAGCTGGCAATATTCAGGCAAAATGTTGTCTCTGTGGATGCTCAGAAGCCAAAACCTCAGCTGAAAACAGAGCAAGTTCAAGGGGCTGAGTCCTTGCTGCCTCCTTCAGTGGATAAAAGGCTCTTGGCTCCCAGTTCCAAGGGTTTAGTCCATCACATAGCCTCAGGGTTCAGCTCACGAACCACCACACATCTCTAGGACAGAGAAGGAAACCCATCAGGGCTGTTGCTCACCTGAGACCGGAGCGCTTCAGTTTCTAGCTCAACCTCGGCACGCTGCAGTTTTCCTGTAGGTGCCAGCAGTTACCTGCAGATCTCTGCTAGGCTTCACCGACTTCTGACAGTGCTGACTGCTGCTGGGTAGCTGCGATGCTGTGCTAAAGGTGCGTGCTTTCCATGGCTGGCCAGCAGCCCCTGGCCATTGCCAGCCACGGCAGAGCCAGAGCATTTGTGAGCTCCCCGCAGTTACGGGCTCAGCAGGTACTGGGGCTGGGGCTCAACCCTCAGCTGGGTCTGCAGCATTTTCCAGGACACTCCTGCTGAACTAGTATCACACTTAACCTCTGATGAGAAAAAGAAAAATGCAGGTTGGCACGCTACCCGTGCAAGGTTTCCAGTCGCATTTTATTCTAGAAAATAAAAAAAAGACGGGAATCCTCATTGCTTTCTCCGCACTGTGTACCCCTACAGGTGAAAATACCAGGTCCTCTGCTAACCCATGTGTGTTTCTCTTCCTTTTAGTCCACCCTTGGATTTGTTGCCCTGCTAATCAGCACTCTGCACACCCTCACGTACGGATGGTCGAGGGCCTTTGACGAGAACCAGTACAAATTCTACCTGCCTCCCACCTACACCCTCACGCTGCTCGTCCCATGTACTGTGATCCTAGCAAAGGTCGTCTTCAGCCTGCCCTGCATCCACCACAGACTCGTGCGAATCAGGAGGGGCTGGGAGAAGGGGAGATACGTGAAGTTTGTTCTGCCCAGCGCAACAGGGGAGTATTCGAGCGGGGAGACCTCTAGCCACGTCTGACGAAGCGCCGGGGCGACGGCGGATTTCAAAGCACTATCGACATTTCTATAAAGGTGTTTCTTTTTCTTAACTATATGTATGTTTTGGTATAATTATATTGTGGGTAAAGAAATAAAATTTGGTGACTTTAGAAAATGGGCTACCATGAAAGAGTTTAGATGGTAGTATTTAAATGATATTGCTGGTTTGCTAGGACAAATGTGGCCTTAAAAATCACCGTGAAAGCTGAGCTAGCAGCACTAATACACAGAAAACTGATGGATTCTGCCTCTGGTGGTGCTGACTAGCAGCTCTCCATACCAGTACTCCTCTGTTGCATCCCTATCTGCTATCATAAATGTCAATGCTTTTGTTCTTCTTTTACATATGAAGGAACACGGATTTTCTGGGCTTTATGATAGCAGAGACATCCTGCCTCTTCAGAGTCTGGATCGGTGTAGGTAGTGAGGTTTAGAAACACAAATCAACTCTGGATTTGATCCTCTCACAGAACTCTGTAGCCGTGTAAAAGCAGAACAATATCTGTGTTGTGTAGTGTCTGCAGATTTTAGTAAAGGTGTCCAAACCTGACAGCAAATCCAAGTATCCTGCTTCCTCAAATAGAGCCAGCAGTTCTGGTCCCATAAGCTGTGAAGAGAGTTACCAAAAAGACCTGCAGCTTCACAAAACTTCATGGAGGAAGCCAAAACCTTATGTTAAATAATATGGTGAAGGTTTTTTAAATCATAGTTTTAAATCAAACCTGAACGTGCCCATTTACACAGACAAAACAGCAGCTCTAAAACTGCTGGTTTCACTGTCAGTGATAAGGTCTTTGAACTGTCTTGCAAAAGGCTCAGTGAGTTCTTGGCCACAGCATGAAAACACAGGAATTGCACGTTTGGGGCACCATCCTTCATTGCCTTGCACCCGACGAAGGCACTTCCTAAATCACAAAGCTTTTCTTCTGATTTCACACACACACACTTTGGATGAGGTACAGGGCAATGAAGAATTCCATCCTAATTTAATTTTATACCTCTCACTTCCTATCCCTTCAAGCCCTTGCTCTTTATCAGAAAAATCCTTTAGCTTTTGGACATCCACATAGAGAATGGACAGCCATTCACAAAAGCTCAAGCAACCACGATGACACTAGAGGACTACCTCAGCAAGGTCAGGCACAAGGGCATGGCTGTAACAGCCTCATTTTCCTACAGCAAAGTAAAAGACACCACTCAGTGTTCAGCGTTGCTTTGAAAAACAACTGTCAGCACCAAATGAGGCATTTGTGGGACCAAAAAGCACCTGTTACAAGACCAGTTAATACAAAAAGTAAAATATGGATTGATTTGGGGACAGATAGGCCCTTCTGCAAGCCAACACGGGTTCCGTAACCAGAATGATTCATGGACAGAGGAACTTCAAACTTCCCTGTTTAGTCTCAAATGACAACCATGAGCAATGTTCTCCAAGCACTGCTCAAGCTGCCAATGAAACGGAGGGGTTTTAATTTGCGTAAGGCTTACAGTAATGTCTCCAAACACCACTTCTTTTCACTGAACAAAAGGAAATCGGCATGAGGGAAATGCCAAGTTTTCACAATCAGCTGATTTTATTTATTTATTTTGGCAGCACAGGGAAAGCAGCAGTCTTTTCCTCCGTCCCTTTCAGGAAGCTGCAGTTATTCAGGTTTTCCCATTCACCTCCAGAGCCCAGCCCAGATCAGCACCTGATCAAATCACTCACCGAGCAGATTGATTACCCAGCACTGGTTATTTGTGGTTGAATGGTAGCCTAAGCTTCCACACGGATTTCAGGCAGTTTCACATGAGTAAAATTCCACCCACTCCAGCTTAACTCATGTTTGAGGGAAAATTGGATTCAGCAAGCTTGTTCCTAGTCTTCTCTTCCTGTTTCACCAGTCGAGCAAAGTCAACATAAAAGCACAAGTTTGCACATTTTCTGTTTACAATAAAGTATTCCAATGTTTGGATTTTTTTTTCTTTTTTTTTTTTTTCCTCTTGGCCAAGCTTATTTTCACATCTTTAGGTCAGGCAAACAAAAGAGTAGGAAGCAAGGAATGAGTATTACCCAGGCTTGCAGGGGGAAGGTGTGGTTTTATTGTGAGACACTTGAAGGCTAAAGACTCACCTTTTTGCCCAGCAGAAATCAGGATTGCTTTGTTTACAAGACTTTCACACCCACATGCCCTTTCCCACTGATGGCAAAGAGACAATTGTCACGAGCAGGAGCTGGCTGTGTTGGTGAGGCAGCACAGTGCTTTCCAGACAGGTCCCAGCCCTACGGACAGTTCAACACCCCACAGCTCCACAGCATCTAAAAAAAGGCCGATCGGGTGCCTTGGGGTGAGGCCCCAGTGCCAGGCCAGCACTCTGGGCAGCCACTCAGCAGCTCTTTAAAACCTGAAACCTATTCCTGTTACTGCAGAGCAGCATTTCTGCTGGTACCCTCTGTAGGCATCAGGTCTCTAAAACCTTTGACACACCAGTTTGGATAATTGATTCTGATTCTGGAATACTGAAAAGCAATTTGAGGTGCTTTTGAATCCCCTATGTATCCCTTTGTGGAGAGGGGATTTAGTGAGGTTAGCAAAGATTTCCCAATTAATTGTTTTTAGTACCTTCTGTCTCTCTATGTATATAAGGACATACACAAACTTATATTACTGCAGAGTATATAGGTGGAGTGTAAATTCTTTATATTTTTATTTTACTGTGTGCCTCTGGGACAGGTAAGAACCAACTGAAGAGCTGTAAGAGTAAGGCCAGTCTTAATCACTGGCTTCTGTAACTATATAAAAGATATTCTGAACAGGTCCATAAAATTATATCAGAACTCATTTCGGTCTTTCTCCATCCCATTTCCTCCACAACCACCCCAACAATACCATTACTTTAATGGCAGTAGTAGAGCGTAGGGTGATTATCTGGAATTTAACACTAGGAAATGAAACACACTCGGGCCAGCAGCTGGTAGCTCCTTGCTACCAGGATAAGTGAAAACTGAGCTTTGCTGTGACCCAGCATGCCAGGACCCGTGTTAGGGAGCTACGTACGCACACAGGAGGTCACCAGTGGGTGCAGACACACGTCGGGACACGAGGCCAGTGCTATTGCACAGCAGCACTGGGAACAAAGGAGCTTAATTCACTAAACTGATACCGAGTGCTGTCGATACCGAGTTCAAGGAAGAGGGAGTTTCCAGGGAGGTTTATGGGACTGGAAAGGTAAAAAAGGAGTTTTAATACTATCATTTTGTTCTCCGTTTCTTATATCACTTCCTCGTAGAAGTGGCATGCCAGATCAACCAACTTCTAGATCTGCAGCGCTGCATTTTAATGAGCTAATTTGTAACTTGATTTTAATGAGTTCATTTAAATGCCTGTGCTGAAGCTTAACCTCTGCAGGTACAGTTCTCTCACTCCCTCTGTTTTATAATACGAGGCTTTTAACAGTCCAATCGGTTTCTTGCTCTTCAGGGATTTACTTACAAAGTGACATATCAAGCTACAGTTAAATATTTAGGGTAATGCAGTTGCTTCAGCATCTCTGTACAGACTATTTCCTTCAATCTCTCCAAGATGGTCAGCATAACGGTGTGAGCTGCTACAGGCAGCCCCAAAAGTCTGCCATACCCCTGGGCTTAACATTTCCTGCACTGAGCTAGTGGGATCCGCAGGCTGTGCCTCAGCTTTGAGGAATAAGATTTGTTGCAGTAAGACAATTTTCTTTTACCTGTTTATTGCGTCTTAATAAGAAGCATGTTTTTCAGAACTTCTGCACAAGGTTTTTAGTGCCAGTCAGGGCCGCCCTGAAGTTGAGCATGCAATAAACAGCAGGAAGGTGCCATCTGTGTCTGGGGCCAGTTCTTTTTGGCAGAGCGTGCATAGGAGTTTCTTATTCAAAGCCTAAAAATAGCTGCTGTGTGCAGGCAGTCGGGAGGATCACATAATACACATAGCATTAGAGGAATCTTTCAAAGACTTGAAATGGCACTAGAGCCATTCCCCTGGAAAGATAATCTGCTTTGCATTTAGAAACCTCAGCAGTGGAGGACCCACTGCAGCTGCTGTTAGCTGGTTACTTACTACTCGTTATCTGTTTCCCTGTGTCTGATCCACAATTAGCCAGCTTCAGCTGCTGCCGTCCCATGCCAGCCTAAAGAGCTTAAAGAGCTGTCTACAGTTGGATGTCCTGCTTTTAAGTAGCTGCATTATTCAGCACTCTGGAAAACAAAGATACTATGCAGATACTAGGATTTAAGCCTGCTTTCTGCAAGACCAGGTTCCTTTTATTTGAGGGGTGGGGAAGTGTGGAGAAATTGCCATAATACTATTAGGATATGGGGTTTCCACTTCTAGGTTGCTTCTTTGACTCTAAAAGCAACAGATGTACTCCAGTTGGACAGGCACCAAATACACGTACATGTACAGAGCCAAAGGTGTGACCTCAAAGTAAGGTCAAAACCAGAGTGAAACCATACCTTCCACTTAAAAAATCTCCATCCATGGAAGAAAAAGGGCTTCCCAAAATGGCCTTAAAGAATATGTTTGGAGTTTTGAAAAGTCAAGGAGAAATGTAAGACACCAAGAACCTGTTTTCCTATGCTGGCCCTTGGCCCTGTAGGCTCCCTGGGCTCCAGGTTAGAAAGCAGAATTAAAACCTTCCCAAAATGCGAAATGAGGGCAGACAGACACAGTTCTTGCTGCCCTTGCTGACGTTGATGGTACACAACACCATGTCACCTGCCAGAGGGCAGAACTGGACATAGAAAGATAAATTCTATTATTAACCTGAACTGTCACGCTGAGCTCTTGAACACATTCACTGCCGACTGAAACTTGCACCCTTCTGGCCTACTACAAGAGAAGAATCACTATCAGACAGAGAGGATGTTAGCAAAGAAGAAATACAATCCATATCTGATCAAAAAATACCCTATCTACAGGAAGATGAAAGTTTTATGCTCCGTCCTCTCCCCCGCTGCTTCACCAGCCCAAACACCCACCTCTGCTGTCAGCCACCCTCCAGGCGTACCACGCTGCCAGAGGAGGTCCTGGTCTCCTGCAAAGCAGAACTGGGTGCTGAGCAGAAGGAAGAGAAGTGAGAATAACACCTCGCAGACAATGTGCACCGCAGTGCTGCCTGCACCCACGCACACAGAAGTCTTCTCCCACGGACGGCAGAAGGCAGCAGTCGCCCATGCATCTCCTCCAGGCTCTGAGCGGCTGCTGAGGGTTACTGGGGACAGCCTGGCACCGAGGCACTGCTCCTAGCACACCGGTGCTACCAGGGCAGAAGAAATGAACAGAAGCAGCAGCCCAAATCAGAAGGAAGGCTTGATGTCACCCACTCTCTCCCCATCGCTTACTTCCCTCTTCTGCAAGCAGGATGATGGGAATCTCAGCAGAAAGCTCAGTCACGCCTTGTCCCTGTGCAATAATCCTAATTTACCCTCTTAACCAGGCACCATCCATGCACACTTCAATCACTCGAAGCATAAAGCTCTGCACAGTGCTTGGGTCTGGGCTCCACAGCTCATATCCCATCTCAGAAAGCATGGCCCAGAGAGCACGGTGCCAGGTTCTCCTCATCCATGGCACTCCGAGGGAGAAACAGAAGCAGCTTAGGGGCAGAAGCATGGAGGACACGTTTGTTGTGTGTTTAAGCTGTGCTGCTGAAGATTTTTTGCTCTGCTTTGCATGTGTGTCTGTTCTGAGCGGTTTTCCTTGTGTTAAAAAAAAAAAAAGGCATATTTAAAGTCTACTTGACAAAAGCTCAGCAAATTAACACTGATCTTTTCCAGACAGTTCCTCAAATGAATGTTCTGCAAATGCCTCCTCACGGCGTGCAAAGATTTAGACACGCTGGAACTGTCTCCGCAAAGCATGCGCTCTAACAAGAGGAATTTAAGCACTGATACCAGTTCAATTTGCCGCTCTTTGATTTTAATATAAAAAGAAACACTTTCTGCAAGGAAAGTTTCAGCTTTCATCCCCGCAGCCCTAGCACAGACTTCGCAGGCTAAACCAATTCACAGATAAGCGCTCTTGCTAGACATTCAGTATTTCTTGGCTTACGTAGGTCCTGGAGAAAGAACAGGCTGTGCTGACATCTGGTGGCTTGCTCTGCAGCCAAAAACAGTTTATGGCAATAGGTCTTGGGTTTTCACTGGGTTTTTGAATCTGCTGTTGTATAGCAGATGAGGTACAAACCTAACCATTAAAGCACTGCAAATAAGCAGAGATGGCAGCATGAAAGAAAGGGAAGTGGCAGGGAAAACACGCAAAGGTGTGTCTGTTACCCCAGTGTCACAGTGGGAAAGTAGGTGGCAGGAAAAAGCAGTGTCCTGATTACCTGAATAGTAATGAAATTATCTACTGAGCATCTTTGGTTGATTCATCAATCATTTGCAAATCCACAGCAGTGATGGAAGGAAGATCTGGAGCCAACTGGTACCATTCAACCAGACTGGGCTCAGCCCAACAAACCTCAATAAGCAAAAGCGTGCACTTGCCTTAAGCACTTGTAATGCCTCCAGCCAGCTGCCACTGACTCTGAAGCCTGGATCATATCAGTCCTACGAGAGCAAGAACAAGTGTCGCAGGTTCTGTTTTCTCATTCTTGATCTCTGAACATCCAGGATTTCAGCAGCTGTTAGCTTGCAAGGCCAGAACCCCCAGATGTCCTGCCACGGCTGTGTCACTGTGGGACTGTGACCTGCAAGGTCGCAAAGCAAAGGATCTGTTGGGATGTGCTGAATGCTCTGAGAATGAAAGTGAAACATCACAGCTTACAGTTTATCTCTGGATCACTTCTAAGAACTGTTTTCATCAGATAAAGCAGTTCTTCAACTTTATCTGCAGTGCATATCTGATTTTTGAGGACTCCTCTGTGCCGTCAGTAACTGCCAGCATCTAACTCAGCTACCTGTGCTCTTGCATCTGCAAGAGGCAATGTGACTGCCTCTGAACAGAAAACTACAAACAGCTGCACGTAGAAAGCACTATATCAGAGCCTGAGAAAAAATAATCTATTACAGCAGTTTCTGCATTCAATTATAAAAAAAATAAAATATTAAAATGCCTAATGATATAAAAACACTATTGTAGTATGTATGTGCCAGGACTGTTGTACATTTATCATTTTCTGTGCTTATTCAGTTACGCCGTTACCTCTTCTTCTTCCTCATGGTAATTCCTTTCTTAAGATAATCTCCTCCTTTAGTAGGTATTTTTCCACACCTCCTAACCAAAACTCCAGTCTCTTACATAGTTTTCTTTCTCTGAGAAACACCATAGCTCCCCCAGTCCCCGCTTGACCACCTTTCCCTGCTCCACTGCAATAACTGAGGAGGACATGGGTTTTATTTCAGTATCCAGCCACGATACTGTTCTTTTTGTTAAAATAAATAATAATAATAAAAAAGGCTGATGCAAGGCTCAAAGAACATCATAGTGTAAAAAGGATTATTAACACCGTAATGCCTAAGAATGCTAAAAAAAGGTATATGATTTATCCTGCTGTATGTTATAGAGGCCACCTTTGATCAACAGTAGTTGTGAACCGATGTGGATCACAACCTCTGCCAGGGTAACAAACCCTGGTACCAGCTATGTGGGTGGTGGGCGCTTTCCTTTAATAGAGGATTTCACAACAACACAGGTAAAGACATCTCAGTCCTTACTGAGTTATCAGCCAGTGTTCCTAGATTTCATTCAGTGTGCAACACTCCTGGAATCAAACCCACTCTGCAACAAGGCTACACATGGCTCTACCATATCCCACCCAAAAACATTGGAGCAGCATCTTATCTAAGGTTTTATGGTAGCTCTGTTTTGGTTGTCAGTTTTATTTTCATTTTTTTCTGGAAACATGCATTATTAAAGCCTCAATTAAAAACAACAACAACAAAAAACACAGTAGAAACACTTCAGGGAGAATCCAGTTTCGAGTGTGGTCACTGACAGCATTACAAAAGGCCTGTACTGTGCTGCAGCAGAAAGCAGCCAAGTGCCACTGCCACAGCCAACACAGCTCACAGAGCACTAGTTTAACTCTTTCATTTGAAAGAGAAACTAATCTAAAGTGACAGACAAATAATTATTACTTGGCATTAAAACATTTACATTTTTCTTGTTGATGTTGTAGAACTTCTCTTCCACTGTTACACACTCAGTGTCACGCTGAACTGCTGCAACTGTAGTAGCTATAACTACAGAGAGGACATGCTAAAATTTGGTGACTGTCCAACATGAATACGTTAGAGAGAAGGGATCACAAAAACAATCCAAATCTGTCTGAAAGGGCTGGAGAGCAAATTAAAATCCTCACAACAGGAGCAAAACAATGACAGTCTGCTCAGAGAGCCTAAGCGTGCTGAGAGACTCCCTGGTAGGAGAGCCCAAGACAGGGATCTCCACAGTATGCCATCTACTTACCACACAGTTACATTCATTATTGTAAATCTAGAGTCAAAAAAATATTGGAAAAAAAAAAAAACACAGCATAATCCCTTTCACAATAGAATACAACAACATTTGAAGCAAAGCTGTTGGGGAGTAACACCAGCTACCTGAGAGGTCTCCAGCCTACACCAGGGAGTTGTCATAAAGGATGAAGAAAATGAGGTGGGAACAATGCATAAAGGTTTCTTTGGCCCTACATCTAAAGTAAAGGGAATTTTTATTTTAAAGCTTTGGATATCACACATCTGCTTTCGCTATCACCTGTCTATCACAATAAAAAATAAAATAAAAATCAAAGTTCTAGGAAACTGTAAGCTTACTTCTCTGGAAAGTCTCTAGTGGAAATGTTGTTGTCAGCTCTCACCCAGAGCTGAGGGTAGATGTCTGGGTCTAAAGCAATTGCACATGAGGTCACATTTGATTTAGCACAGCCTATGCCCAAAAAGCCTACAAGGCAGAGAGCCAGAATCGCTTCTGTTTCCCTGAAGAGAGGCTTAAAGACACAGTGGCCCATCTTGGCAACTCCCTAATGAGCAGTTAAGTGTCTATCTAAACTAGAAGCATGACTATTTTTTCTTGTTCTTAATTTGGTTAGTGTCCTAAATTTGGCTAATTCCAGGAAAGCCTGGAATTACCAAGAACTAACATACAGTGACAGAACATTTGGCTCTTGGAAAGCAGGAAAGAATAGTCTTGAAGACATCTGTTGTGCAGATTTGGCTTCTCCTTGCAAAAATGCAATCATTCAGGTTTCACTCTCGAAACTGAAACCATGGGCTTTCACAACATTTGGAATAAATCCTTACTCCTATTTATGCATGTTGATTCCCTGGCAGAACTCAGGTTGCTACCTCTTCCATGAAGGTGTCTCCATGAAGCAATGCAGTAGCAAGCTGAGCTGAACACAAAGGCCTCTAACAGTCACTTTCTCTTTCAGCATGCTAAAGAGGGCTAGAAGAAAGTATAAAGGAAAGCATTCACCAGTGAAGAGCCTGAAACACTTGCCAGTGTGCACCATTTAAACAAAAGAGCCTAAACATAAAGAGAGTGAAGTAAATCTATTACTTGAAACAGAGACTCTCTTGTCAGACACTCTAAAATGCCCATCGATTGCGTCACACAAGTTTCCATTTTCATTAGAAGTTACTGCTAAGAGGGACTTTTACTGTGCATTGTGTAATATCAGTACGTAGCTAACATCTGCTGTAGGATCCTACCAAGAACGTGCATCACAGGTCAGAGATTGGTTGCACCGCCAACACTGTAAAAGGCAAGCAAAGGAAAAAGAAATGTGGGAGGAAGGAACAAAAAAAAAAGGCATGTATGCCCCCCAGTCTTCCTACTCTCAGTCTTAACATATTGACAGAAATTAATTTCTATAGGAAGGGAATTGCACTGTTTGCAAAGCAATCCTTTAGGATTTATTGATCTTTAAAGAAAAAAAAAAAACCTCATTAAGCAGAACAAGGAAAATTTACAATGAGTATGGGAAAACAAAACAATCTCTTGGGATCTTCACCAGGCCGAAACAGGATTAGCTTTGTAGTTTCTGTAATCTTCCTCACAGAAGAATGCTAATTCGGTCTCATTTGCTAGAACGAATAAAAAATGAAATATTTAGCACACCAGTAAATGAACCGCCCAACAATGAGCTGTTTAGAATCTCAGAAGACAATTGGTGACTTTTTGGGCAAAGACAATTATAAATCACCACACAATCCCCAACCTCCCCCCCATATTTTTACTGGTAATAAAGATGCAGTTTAACCATGTTAAAAGAACAAGAACTTGAACATATAGAAGAAAATGTGTACACAAGATCCCTCAAGATTTGTTTAACGCAGACGACAGAATTGTTTGTATAAGCATTCAGCAAATTAAACGATTGCATTTCTAATGCCTTCAAATGCTGGAAAAATAATGAAGCATGATTTTCTCTTTTTTGTGCATTTTTCTTCTAGGAAAGAAAAAGAAACATTTTTTTTTTTCTGTGAAATTAGCCTGTAGGTATAATAATTTAATACTTAGAGGATCAGTAGAATATTTTACAGATCACTTTACATTCTCCCTCATGACCCATCAAAATATGTGTCTGAAGAAGTTAATTTTTTGCCCTGCTGATGATTAATTCATGAGGCTTCAACAATATGCAAAGTGAAAGACACAAATTGGCTTCTCCAGCAATACCTTCAAATACCTCTAATTATTCACAGGGGATATGGCAGAGCTAAAGGACCCACAAAGGTTCAGAGCAGTCACAATTCTTTCAACCCAGTAGGTCAAGGACTTCCTCTTCTAAAACAGTAAGTCAGCAACATTACTAATTCAGAACAGAGACAAATCTGATGGAAAGCCTTCACAATTATTAAACATGGAATTCTTTAAGGTGCTGAGCCAATAAGTTCCACGTTCGTTTTTTAAATTAAACCTGAAGTTAATGAAGTCTGCCTGTCTTGTAAAAAAGAAAAAAAAAAAAAGTAGAAGGGGTTTTAGACTCTCAACTAGAAAACAGACAAGACTGTTTGCAATGAATGCTGAACACTTTATTAACATACACCCTACTCTTAAAAAAAATAAAAAACAGGCAAGCATTAACTTTGCTGAGTAGATAATAGCTGTAATAATAATCACTACCACAGAGGCTTTCCCGAGGATACTTATCTAATGTCCTCATAATTTATAACTCTCTAGCCCAACCCTGTAAAGTGCCAAGGGCAATCAACTGCAGCTTAGAAAAAAAAATGGTCTGCACGCCTCTGAATTTCCCAGATTTCCTAATAGAAACTCTGTTTTATTCAAGTAAATCTTGTCCAGACTAGATACTGAAGAAGAAAAAAAAAAAAAAAAGAAATGATAATATACCAATAGGAGCTTTCAAATCTTACTGATTTAAATGAAATGTACAAAACGAGGACTAATGGCACATGCCATCATGCTTCACTTCCTTGGTTTCCCATTTTCCACTTCTTGTTGAAGAAAGACTTCTGCAAGATTTTACTACAAAGACCTCATTCTCATCTTAGCTAATTTTCATATCAAAATATCCCAGAACATATCAAAATTCAAAATCATATAATAGCATGCTATCATTTACAAAGCAAGAGTTTTTCTTTTCTGTCACAAATACAAACTACATCCTAATGACTAATTGTAAAACTTCTGATAGCTACATTGCAAATATTTAAGACTTGATTCCTAATAATCCTCCTTCCTGAGGAACCATTTTTCTTCCAGATGAAAAGGTCTAGTTTACCTGGTTTAGTTAAAATAAATAAATGAATAAATAAATAAAAGCAGCCAGAGAATAACTATTTTTCATGTTATATGAATGTCCAAAGACCTTTAGGAAAGGTATACTGAGGGCAGGTGTAGTACACTCCAGGGAAAACCATTAAAGAGACACTTCAGAACACTTAAAAGTGAAAAGTAAATGGTAGAAATCTTGAAACAATGAAAAGGGAAAAACAGAAATAAAGCAAACAAACAAAACCAACAATGACAACACAAAACCCCAACTTAAGAAAAATCAGATCCCCTCTCTGACACCCCAAAAATCAGGGGTTTGTTTGTTCGTTTGTTTTTATGGCCAAGAGAAAAAGGAGGTGGCTTACAACCATGTCACAAAACATAACCAAGAACATTGAGGTGCTAAATTCTAAGAAAGATGCAAGCAGATTACTGGCCAAATGTCAGAAGTTGAACTCTTTGAAACCCTTTAGACTATATGACCATGAGAAAGAAAAGCCATTCTTTCTGGGGAGCAATCAGATGGCATCAGGAAGAGGAGGGAGTTTTCTCTGTGACACCCCTTTACTTAGAGTGCAGGTGGTTAAACATCACAGCGAGGCAAATCAGAATCAAATGAGCAAATGTCTATATGAAGGTGGAATGCTACTACATCCCTCAAGTACCCCTCTGCCACAAAGTCATTCAGCCACGTTTATGAGAAGCCCAAAGGACATCCAGGGACCATCAATTTTATCATGACAGACATTTCTTTACATTATTACCAAAAGACATGCCCTATATGCAGTCCCCTGTCAAAACGTGAGAAATCAGGTCAAGTTTCAACTCCATGCTGCGTTCAGCACATTCTCTAAATGATACTCCTCGAGTCTTCCCAAGCAATCTGACTACCAAGGACTGCATGTTGCACATTAAAACAAATCCAAGCTTATTTCATTATTCCATACTGGTTCCACTACTTACATTTCTAACCAAAACATCAGTTTAAATGTTACTGATAAGACTAAGCAGACACGGTACTAATAACCTATCTGCCAATCATTTAAAATTACTCTCAGCAGAATTATGAGCATACCTTCTGAAATCACAATTTGCATTCTGAACATTCGGAGTGCAGATACCTGCTGCCCTCAGTTCAATGATTTCAATGTACGTTATCCCCCCTTCTTCCCTGAATAATTACCAAGTAGTGTAAAGAGAATCAGGAATACCATTTACTTTTCAGCAGGCTATCCAAACATAATCAGCCAGTTATCAGTTTAATGACAACCACAGTGAACAGCACCTTCAGTCAATATAAACGTACTCATACCTACTCCAGCTGCTTTCAGCGTACTCTCTTCTTTCAAAATCAGTTTGTCATCATCTTCCAAACTCACTACAAGCTCACCAGTCTACAAATTAGAGAACCAGAATACAACGATAAGAATTTACTGTTTCTCTGTCCCAGTCTCGTTTTACAGTGCAGACATCTGCCTGCCTGCATGCAAAAGGGGAAGAAAATAGCTAATAACCATACCTTTGATTTGTGTGCTTGGTGAATTATCTTCATTGTATCTGAAAGAAAATACAATGTTTTCCTAAAATAAACTTTAATATGCAGGCAACACTAAAAGTTATGCTTGGGGAAGAAGACAGTAACAAAGGGGTAAGGTTTAAATTTTATTATTATTATTAACAATTTTACATATTCAGTCTGAAAGAGGAGAAAACATTTTAATTTCCCAGTCCTGCAGCCACAGCCTTAAACCAGTCAATCCACCATCTTATTGGGCTTCTGTCTACTGGCTGAGTTACAATAACTGACTAAATGACCATCCCAATTGCCAGTCAAAACACATCAATTCAAATGCCAGCTAGGGTGTTTTAACTTAGCAGGTTTTATACATGCAATTGGGGCAGGACAAACTGCATTTATGTGCTGTCAACAAATGCAGCTAAATTGACAGACAGCACGTGATTAAGGCACAGTAACCTGACTACTTCAGGTTATTATTTGAAATCTTCCTTCTCATGAAGAAGTCATCCATGTTAGAAAGCGTGTTGAGCAAGTTCTTTCTCCATGAATATGTACAACTCTCCTTTCTTTCTACATCCCCTTCATATTACCTGTGACATTTTTGTGTATTTTGTTTCCATACCTTCAATGCACAATTCTGTTTCCAAGTTTGTTTCCATACCTTCAATGTAGAAATGCATAATACTCTGGCCCCTTTTGAATGTTTTATTTAAAATATTACAGAAGGTCAAAACTACTCCATATTCCCACTGCAGAGTTCACTGAAAAGGCATTCTTGCCGTGCAGTCCTAGCTGCAGTACTAGAAGCAAAACAAGTATTTGATTGCAATTACCAGGATCCATCTTGTGTAGAAATATTGCAGAAGAACAACAATCACAGCAAAAAGATACTGTAATTATGAAAACTTTCTCCCAAAGTGAATACCATCCAGCCTCTGCCTCTTAGTTTTAAACTTCTAGATCTACTTCGCCACATTCCCTGTTCTCTGGTCTTTGCACAGTTGTTCTCTGAACTATTGACTCAATTTTACTTCTCCACACCTTCATCACTGGCATCCAGAAATTCACTGCATCTTCATTTGAGCTATTAAATGGCTTCTCCAATTCTGTTATAGAGATAAAACTGCTGTATCTTCTCATCCTAGCTACTTCCTCTAATTGCTTTTGCTATATTAAATAGTCCCAACCTAGTCCCACTTAATCATGTATATTTTTTAACTTTTCCTTTTCTGGTAACAGATCTTCCATGACAATAGATAAGAAAACACTTTCTAAGCCTCTCTGTGAAGTATCGACCATACTGCTCTGCATTTATGGGGGAAAAAATGGAGAAGTTGCTTATGAGACAAGATAGCACCCTTCATCAGTAAAAAGGAGGTAATGACAGGGTAGAAAGATGAGAAGATAGACTGAGAAGAGTTCTAGATCAAGGACATGAACGATGTGTACAAAGAAATGAAGAGAACATTTGAAAGTCATAAGCTTGGAGATTCAAGTGAGTCAGAGCACCAAGAGGAAAAAGGTGGCGGTGATGTATATGAGGTCAGGAGAACCAAGTAGTGCTGGATTCTGGACAGAAGGAAGCCAAAGCAGTCAAGATGAAAACCAGCCAGGTCCAAGTGGCACTGCCAAACAAAGCAGAGAGATATCTGACTCTTACTAGCAGTATTCATGCAGAAGTCTTACGGCCTCTTGATCACCACAATACAAGAAAGACAACAGAGCACGCAAGAGATGCCAAAAACACGAACCTGGATGATTCACAGCCTAAGGGGAAGGTGAGGAACTCAGGCTTGATTTTTTTCTGTGTGAAAATTTCAGCATAGCTGGCACCATCCCACTAAAAGGCCCCCACTAACTGGTATAACAAGTTTGAAAGTTCTGCTGTGTTTTGCACCCACATTAAGCTCAGTCCTACGCAGCACAATCAGGTGCTCAACCACAACATATGCTTGCAGCAAAACTAAACTGATGCTGTGAGTGATGAAAGAACTAGCAGCAGGGATAGGCAGCACCAGAAATACAACTGGTAGCAGCCCTACGTGGGACCCATCCACTCAAAGCAACAGGTATTAGGGGGCTGAAAGGCAGCACCAAATTCAGAATTACAATTACCTAGATTTTAAGTAATACATTAAAACTAATAACATCTAAGTCCTTGTCACTGATACAGTGCAAATCTTAATCCCTCACTCTTTTTCTGTTTTCATTTTGTACTGTTTCACCATCAGCAAGAACAAAGTATGAAATATTTGCCTTTTTTTTTAAGAGGCAAATAGAGTTGATCACCATTCACATGTATTAAGAAGGTTCCTCATTCACTTCTTTGAATCATTGTAGAGGAAGGAGTTTGTTACTGCCAAGAACGTGGGAGACATCTGATCACTTGTAGCAAAGCTCCAAGCGAACTTTCAGAACTGTCAGGCTGAGGAGAAGGTATGTGACTGACATCTGAGTTACCAACCTCCACAAAAGGAAATAGTTTATTTTAATTTGAAAATATCTTCTATCCCAAACAGATGAATTGCACACATTCATGCCAAGCTTCACAAAAGGAAATACACACGTACATTTACATTAGAAGATAAATTCAGTCTAAACTTGACACCAGACTATTTCTTTCCACTAGCTCTTAAGAGTTTTCTAACCTACTTTGAGCAATGTTCCCCTGCTCCTCTCATATTATGTAAATTATTTAAGAATATGAGTTTTATGCATTTTCCACTTACTGCCTTAAGCTTCTGCTTCATGATCCTTTTTGACCTCACAATTAGTAAAGAGATACTGAAATACATAAGTACAAACAGAACTACAAATTCAAAGTGTTTGAGGCCATAAGCTGCTCTGTAAAGTAAAAATAGAGTTAAAAGGTGGTTATAAAAGTAATAAAAAATTAATACCAAAAACCATCAGTACCAATTAGCAAAGAATGTACAACATGCAGCCTAACTCAAAGATTAATACAGAAGTTTAAACCAATGGTCAGGTTCTGTAGATCCCAGTGCATAACCCCAACTACAAGAGCTCGACAGAGCTGCAAACATAGGCAAGCACTGCAACCTGCATGAGTATGCTAAAAGAGTTGCCTCCTAAAATGTCCAAACTGTTATAGATTACATCTAAACTGGTATAGATGTTAACTGGTATAGATTCAATGATTACGGCTGCATCTTGCAAGAATTAAAACAAGAAAGAATACCTACCATACTTGTAATTTTTAAAAGGAGGAGGAAGTCCTGCTCTTGAAGGCACATCTGTTAAAATAAAATCACCGAGTTAAAACAAAGTTGTCTTTTTTAATTTCCAGTAATGCACAGAAGTGCAATGCATGCATCCTAGACACCCTTTACATCAAAATAAATCATCAGCACAAGTGACTTGTTTGAGCAACAAATACTGAAACACAACCTTTGGCTCAGATTTGACAGTTGCTCCATATTAGCTTAACTTCACCCAAGCACAAAGTTCCCCTGAACAGCATGACCCACATGGATAGCAAGTCAATGCAATTAGGATGTGATCATGGGAGTCAGATCCTTCAGAATTCTGCCAGAAACATCCTGTTGTGGTTTGTAAAGTCCAAAGTCCAGAGTCTCTCACCACCTTCTACCAACAGCATCCTGATAACCGCCATTCATAACTAACTGTTCAGTAAACACAGCCATGCTAACCAGTCACAAAAAGGAAGCCAAAGGGTAATAAATTAACTCTTTAGCCACATGAAGGACACGGCCAATAAGCCACTGCAAGAACACCAACACCTCCCTGGTGCTAGCATCCCCAGTGACATCCAGGGATTTAAGCAGGGCCTTGGAAGGCCCAGTTGCCTGTCAGCTGCTTGGCAGCAACATGGCTGAAAACACAATTTCATCAGTAGTACAAAAATGTATCTCAAATTCCTCCTTCAAAACAGATTACAGTAAAGGAAGGAACATGGATTTGGGGCCAGGAACAACGCTACCCACATGGGGAATGGGGTTCCAAAAAGACTGACTCCAGACACTAGCTTTGTCTCAAATAGCAGCAAGTTGCAATATTGCACACATCAAAAGCAAGTTTTTTTTTAGCTTTATTTCTTTTATTTTCTTATTCATAACAGCAGCTGTACCATATGTTCTGCAAGTGCTAGTAGTTTTCTAAAAGCAACCTAAGATCTAGCCATGCCTATCACTGTCTACAAGTAAGGAAGTCACTGAAAACACAGTACAGCTGTAAGGCCCAGGGCAACATCCCAGAAGTTGCTCAAATGTGATCAGCTGCAACAGTTCCAGACATGTTTAAGCTGACATCATGCAAAAAAAAAAATAATTATATAAATAAAACCCTGTTATTCTGCCCACTTTGAATGTCTCCATTGATGTGTGAGAAATACACCTGCAAGGTTAGTTAACACCCTGGCCACTGAGTTGGTGCGTGGGCTGGTCTACGTTTACTAACTTTCAGATACACCGTCACTTTCGTCCAGGCTTCTGAAACATACGGTCCGTAGATGAGTAAATCCGCACCATAAAGCTCCAGATGGAGACAAACACAGAAGCCAACATGCAGACCAAGACCTCACAGTGTCAGAAACAATTTTCACAGTGCTCTTCCTTCACACAAATAGCAAACAGATGTTCATTCCCACATTCCACTTACTGGTGTAGCTCCTATGGATCAAAGGCTCCCTAAATTCTATTGGTTTACCCATGTTAATTTCTGAAAAGCTGTCTGAGAGCACTGCTCAAGGAGCCTAAGCACAGAGCCAAATGCAGCAAGGCCTTTTAGTCAAAAAGGATCAAGCATGAGGAATTAGGCAGGTGGAGCAGCCTACCCAGATCTAGGCATGGCACGCTGACCATGGAAGCTCTTATTAACTTCAGACTTCTCATCCAAGCTGGGAGAGTAAACAGGGGATATAAATACAACTCTGGTATCTCTACCAAAGCTGCAGAATTCCCACTCATTTGTTTCCCTTCAATTTCTTGTGCAGGGATGGCAACATAAGCGACAAGAAAATAAATAACAGTCCCTTACCCTTCTGTACAAAAGTAATGAACTGCTTCACCGTCTGATCCAAGTTAACTCCATGATACACCACAGGTCTGAAATTCCGGTGCTCAAAAGAGCGAACAAGACGAACCGTGATGGTTGAGCTTTCTGCCGACATGAGAACTAATTTCGAATAACCTGGAAAACATCAGAGAGGAATTATTGTCTTTCCTCGACACATAAGCACAGCTAAAAAAGAAGGTGCAGGTGAACCTCAGTCAAAGATTTAAACATGATAAGAAATTTAATAGTGTTAAATCTTTCAAGACTTCACTTTTAGTGGTTCTACAGCAGCAGTAAACTAGAATCTCAAAGCAAACAGTTTTGAGACTGAGGATATTATTAACACTGTACGTGAAATATTCCAGTATTTGTACCTGTGCTGTGTGCTATATCAGACTCTGTTAAACAGACAAAATGTTATGGATAAATGCAAGTATGCTGCTTGGTTTCAGGTGAGTAACCTATTAAGTAAGTACCAGCTAGGTGAGTAACCTAAAAGACTGTACTAACATGAACAAAACTAAAACCTTTTTAATATACATATGTTGTACAGATCATAATACCCCAAAAAATGCCTAAGCTGTTACACAATGCTCATTTTCACCTGCTTACAGAAAGTAAAACAACTCCCCCGCATGCATACACAAATAATTTTCCCGGCATATTACTGTATAATCAAGAGTTTATAATAATAGCTACCTGGAATGGCTCCACAGGGTTCATATTGCTTCAGCAGCGAGCAGAACCGACAGTGGATTTGTTTTACCAGCCCAAGCACCTCTTTAAACAAACCACACATTGTTCAGGTGGCTCCTTTGTCTCCACAGGAAAATGAGCTATTTCCCACCCCAGCGATCTTCCAATTTTCTCTATATTTTTCCTTTTTTTTCTTTTTTTTTTTTTTTGTGCTGGGTATTCCAGCCCCCTTCCTTTCTGTTCCCAGGCTAAAGCGCTGCAGCTGCTACAGAAATGAGAAAAGACCGCAGGGCTGCAGCATCAATCGGGAGCACAGCACGGCCTCCACATCTCACCTAGCCATGGACAGCATTTCCAGCCACCACTTCCACAAGGGATCCCCTTGCGTATTTCATCCCTTTATGGGCTTTTATTTTGGCATTAAAAAAAATAGTGATAAACGTGCTGGGGGTGCTAATTTAAACGCCCCACCTTCGTGCAGGTATCCGATATCTCCCAGTCTTTGCTGTATTTATCTTAGCCGCTCCCTGAAAAAGCAAAACGGGAATATTTTCCTCAAATGGCTTTTGCAGAGCGGAGGCATGGTGTTGGCACCCCACAGGGCTACATCCTCACACGGGTTTATGTCCCGCTGCCCATTAATTCACAGCGCCCTGCTCCATTTTCCATGTAAATAAGCAGCGACCCACAAATGATTCTGATCGAGTTACTCCTCTGCACCCAATATACAACTAGAGGGGCACTGAGCAGAGAAGGAGACGTTTTATTGATGCTGCTGCCCAGGTCGAGATCTGCAGGGTGCAGAGGAACAGGCACCCAAACCCGCTTCCCCTGAGCAACCTGGAGGAGCATCTCAGAAATACACACACACAGACACAATTAGGAATTTTAGCATTTATTGGACAGGTCCCAGAGGCTGCTCCAATCCGGCCCCCTCAGGCGCGGCGCTGCCCCCCCCACGCCCCTCAGCCCCCAGCCCGCAGAAAATGGCGGCCGCCCCCCCCTCCCCTCACCCCAACGGCTCCCAGCCTTACTGCGACGCCCCAGCCGGCACCACCGCGGCTCGCCCTTCAGCCCCGCCCCCTCGCGGCCCCTCCGCCAATCACAACCGAGCCCTGCCTCCCTCCCCGTCGCGTCGCGCCTCAGGATTGGCTGAGAGCCGCTCCAGCCCCGCCCCTCTCTGCTGAAAGCCCCGCCCTCCCTGCAGCCCCGTGTGCGGGCTCACCTCGGCTTAGCGCCCATGAGGCAGCGCCGCCTTCCCATTGGCCCTTTGCCCGGCTTCTCCCCGCCCCTGCAGAGCGCTGATTGACGCGGCGCCGCCCGCGGCGCTGTGATTGGCCAGCGCGCTGTGTGGTGAGGGGTGAGGCGGTGAGGCGACCGTTGCGGCGGGGCAGAGCTCGGCATCATGGCGGAGGTAGGGGCTGGGGGCGGCGGGCTCCGGGCGCCTCATTCCCCCTTCCCGGCCTCTTTTTCTCCTTTCCGCGTCCCGCTGCTCACCCGGCCCCGCTGCGGGGCCTTCCCTCCTTCCTAGGCTGCGTTCCAGAAGGCCGCCGAGGAGGTGAAGCAGCTCAAGTCGCAGCCTTCGGACCAGGAGATGCTGGATGTCTACAGCCACTACAAGCAGGCCACGGTGGGCGACGTCAACACGGGTACGGGCCGCCGGGGGGGGCTCTGGGGGCTTTGGGGAGTCTCTGAGGGGGGCTATCGGGGGTCCCTGGGGGCTCTCTCTGGAATGGGGGGGTCCCTGGGGGCTCGCTCCCTGCAGGGGGGGGGGTCCCTGGGGGCTCGCTCCCTGCAGGGGGGGGGTCCCTGGGGGCTCGCTCCCTGCAGGGGGGGGGTCCCTGGGGGCTCGCTCCCTGCAGGGGGGGGGTCCCTGGGGGCTCGCTCCCTGCAGGGGGGGGTCCCTGGGGGCTCGCTCCCTGGGAGACTGAACCCTGCCTCCCCCCCCGTTGCTTGAGATGCTGCAGACAACCCCATGCTTTACACAAAGTGACTCAACACCCACTTGGCGTGGGTCTGTAAGCACGCAGGAATAAGCTGACCAGACAGGGCCCTAGATAAGCGTTTGTGCAATTCGTGGTTTTTAGATTAACCCAGTTGCAAATCTCTCAATTGCACAGAGAGCCCTGTGCGTTGCCTTTGCGCAAGGACTGGGTTTGGGGATTTTTGGAGACCTCTGTCAGTGAGTAGCTGCCAAGGTCAAGGGATGCTGCTCTAGCATAAGCACATCTCGGATAAACACACTTCAACAGCAAGGCAAGCTACACAAGTGTGTAATAGCAATACTTGGTGGGGGTAGAAGGTTAGTAAACTAAATTGACTGCTTAAAATAGTCCTGGAAAACTAAAAAAGAATAAAATAACACAGGATGTATGCAGTAGGAAGAACTCTTAGAGGAGCTGCAATCAAATATCATGTCCTGGAAGGAACTGTAGCAGAAATATCTCTGCAGATGCACTGTGCCAAATCCCTGCTGCTGCTACTTGGGCTGAGACCGTGCCTAGCATTCAGAATGAAGCCCGTCTCTGTTGACCTTGCGTAGTACTTGAGTAACTAGAGCTAGAAAGAAAAAAAAGGGCGTTTGTTTGCAGCCCTGGCCTCCTGACCCAGTTGCCGCTAAAGGTTATTGGGTGTTGACTGAATTCAGAGCTGGCAGTGAAATATTCTGGAAGTGGTAAATTTGGGTGCATACAGCCTGTTTTTTGCCAAGAGAGACAGCACTTGGAAGGATGAAAGAACTGAGCTGGGTTTTAAGATGTGATCCTTCCGGTGTGGCTGGAGCTCGGCATTGTTTGAGCTGAAGTGTTGCCAGAGCTCATGGTCTGGCAACGGTCAGCATAAGGGTATTGCTGTGGTGAATGTACAGGCTGCTAATGAACAGTCCCATTTAATTCATAATCCTAGGAATTATATGTAATGAGACAAAGAACAACTCAGAGGGGACTTCATGTGAAAAATAATCACATCCACATCTAACCCATTTCTTCTCTCTTTGGCTACAGCGTGGCTTGTAATGGAGTTAGAATCCAGTGTTTATACCCTGAGGATAACAGGGCAGAGGAAGAATTGCAAGTTACAAACACACAGTTAACTTGACGTTAATGCTTTTTAAGCTGTACATACGCCACTGGCTTTTGATTTCATGTCTCTGTGTGTAATGGACCTTGGGGCATTTCTGCTTTACTTTAGAGCTGATGTTCTTTAATTGGATTGTCTTCATGCCCCAGCAGTCCCTTCAGAAAGTACAGTGATAAAACCTGAATCGCACCGTTTGGTGCTCTTCTGTTCAAATGCTGCTCTTTTAAGGGAACTTAGCAGACCTCTTCTGTTGCTACGAGCAGCATCCCAACATGTGCCCATCAGCACTGGAGGTAGCTGACTGCAGATGATTAAGTGGAAGCTGCAAACGTGAACCATTGTATTTTATTGCTAAATGGCCTTCAGGAATGTAAGTATTATCTGCAGCCAGGCCACACAAACTGATTCTTTTGCTTATTCTCTCTCTCAGATCGCCCTGGTATGCTTGACTTCAAAGGTAAAGCAAAGTGGGATGCCTGGAATGCATTAAAAGGTAAGCGTCTGCTTAAAAAATCAAAATGAGTAAATAAAACCATGGGCAAACTAGTCAGAACACCATATGCTGTTCAGCCAGAAACCAGATGGTGTTGTCTTGTAAGACAAGAGCTTTAGGAGTTTAAAATAGTGCTTTTGATTACTTCTGCAAAGCAAAAATAACCCTGAAAAATGTAGGCTGTCTGTCAGAAAGGGAGTTAAGGTGCAAAATGCCCAACTGGCTGAAGATGTATGGTCAGGCAAGTGAACAGGAAGGAAGGACTTGGCTTGGGTGGACTTGTAGATGAGGAGGCGCGTGTAAATGTGCAAGGCTTCTAAACAAATGTGCACATCGCCTGAATTTGCTCAGCATAAATCAACAGCCTTAGCCGTTATTTTATGCTGTTGAATTCCTGGTGGCACAGATTTAGGGTCTTTGCCAGCCTGGAAGTGGTCCTTGCAGGAGGGTGGAACTAACAGAAAATGCAGCAGCTCTGAATTAAGCTCAGACCGAACTGCTGAATCTGTGGCACTGTTGTCAGCAGGCTTTTGTTGTCTCAGCATCTGCTTGCCCTGCTCAAGGAAGAGCTGCTTCAGGGCGGCCTGTTGGAATGGAGCAGGACTGTGTGTCTGTTCTGACTGTTGTCTTTGTTACATCTTTCAGGAATGTCCAAAGAAGATGCAATGAAAGCATACGTAGCAAAAGTGGAAGAGCTAAAGGGCAAATACGGGATCTGAGAAGTGGAAATAGCAACTACTTGCACACCTGAATCATGCCTTATTTCTAATACTGTGGAAAACTGATTTCTGAAGATGATTTTACATGTGAAGTATACTGTAGTTTGTTCTCATAATGCCTGTAGTTCAGGGGAGATCAGTGTATCTGCCTAATGTACTGACGTGCTAAAAATTCATTTTGAGGACAAAATAACCTGGAACTCATTAAAGTGCATTTGATACTTTAGCTGTTGTGGTGGTCATCCCTTAGGGACTATGTTGGATTCATCCATTAGTGGCCGTGTTGCAGCTTTTAAACGCTTCTGTCAGGTTAGAGCAGGGTCAGTGCTCACCTCTCCAGTCCTCACACCACTAGGGGGGGCTCGGTAATGGTTCATGCGGTGCAGACTTGTGTGCAAACTGAATCAGTGATGTCTACTACTGCTTTCCTTTTGTGTGGATAAATGGCAACCCACAAAAGCTGGAGCACAGAGATTATCCTGAAGAGGTTAGTGGTAATGCTGTGTGTCACTTAAACACAGCATAGATATTCATTGCCTGTGTCTTTCAGATTCATTCAACGGTTGCCAAATCATCTTCCATAAAATACTTCTCAGAGGTGTTATCCCCAAACAACAGTGTTAGGGTTCTGGAGATAAAGCAGATAATCATCATCTGAACAAAAAATGGTCTGTGAACAGAAGGGCTCTGTAGACAAAGGAACTGTTGATGCCCTTGCTTCTGTACTGCTATAAATACAGAGCATCGATGGTGCCACTGTACTGCAGCTTTGGTGAGAGATAAGTGAATCAAGCATACAGTTTACCCCTTACAAGGCTGTTTGAGCAAGGCTTACAAGGATAATCATCAAATGTTTAGTTGCAACTATGGGTTTTGGAGAAATCTGTAATAGCCCTTTAGCTAGGGAAGGAGCTTTTTGCTTTTTAAATGTGATACTGAACTGTTGCAGCACGTGAGAATGAAGTCACAACCTTACAGAGGAATAGTGCCTTTTAACTCCTGCTACACTGTGCATCATCTGGATGGATGAAGACTTCAACTCGCAGTGCTTTCAGAGAAGCTATTGACTTCTATAAATAGACAGAGATGAAACCTGTCTTTACACATGTACTAAGTTACATGGGCTTTGCTGTCAATGTTATTTAACTTGTATTTTGTCATACCACTGGTAAGAGACAGAGATGACTTTCCTCTCAAGCATGAGCAGAAGCAGCTGAGGTCCCTTGGCTTGCTCAGCCCCGAGCAGAGCAGGCTGAGGGGAGGCCTCATGGCGGCCTGCAGGCTCCCTCACGAGGGGAGTGGAGGGGCAGGCGCTGAGCTCTGCTCTCTGGGGACTGTGACAGGACCTGGAGCAGCACAGAGCTGGGAAAGGGTAGGGTCAGGCTGGGCGTCAGGAAATAGTTTCTTCACCAAGAGGTGGTCGGGCACTGGGACAGGCTACCCAGGGCCATGGTCAAAGCACTGAGCCTAAAGGAATGTTCCTGTTAAAGGAACATTTGGCCAACACTCTCAGAAATATTGTCTGATTTTTTTTCGAGTCATCCCGTGTGGAGCCAAGAGTTGGACTCGATGAGCCTTGTCAGTCCCTTCCAACTCAGGAAATCTTATGATTCTAAAAACTGTAACTTCCCCCTTTGCTACTTTCATTGGGAAATGCTCTCACAGCTACTTTCCAACTTCCCTTTGAAAAGTGTTGGGATAAAGAAGGGTTTGCTGGTCACTCTCATGAGGAAAGCAGTTGCTTATTCTTGTTCTTCTGGGTAAGTAATATAAACACTTGGTTTTTTTTACTTCCTCTTGTATCCTCTGATAATTGTTTGATAGTGTTTAAGTACATTCACCTTGCAAAACATGGGTAAGAGCAGACATGCAGCACAGGAGATGGTTGTAGCTTCTTGCCAGCCCTGAATTCCACCCAGCTCTGTCTTCACAGCTGTATTCTGTGATGCTGGGGAGGATTCTGCCAACTGGTAGCAGAATGCAGCTCACTCTGGCAAATGCTTCCACTTCTGCTCTTGTTTGCTGGAAGCTTATAAACTGTGAGCATGCCTTGTTTTGCCACTGTGCTTTCTGTCAGAACTCGTATTTGGCTCTTCAGAAACACCATTTGCTAAAACAGCAGAACTGGGCTCTGTCTAAAAAGAGGGCTGGGAGCAGCAAGTTCTGTATCCTGTTCTTAAGTCAGCGTTATTTTACCTATGAGACCCAACTAATTATAACAGTAGTTTTCCTGTTGGCCGTTAGGAAAACACGGCTGTGCATGCAGCACTTATCCCAGCATGGGCTTGGTCTTGACCAGACTTTTATACGTTATCTTGTGCTTATAAACAACATCTATAAAAATGACAAAGAACTCTTCCTTGGACATCTTTATTTAAGTACTTTCTTTTTTACTATAGTAATAACTTCTTCCTGCTTGCAGCTTTGCCTTCCTTAGGAAAGTAATGTCTGTGGTTGTGCCACCTACCCTGCCTTTTGGCAATCAACAGCACATCTCACAAAATTCCAGTTATTATGGAGGTAAGAGTTATGCAGTAGGAGACTGCGTGGAAGGCATCGAGGCAGAAGCAAAGGTGCTGGTGATGAGAAGCAGCAACACACACATTGGTTGCCCATCTAGTAACTGTTCACGTGCTTGGGCACTCATTAATGAACAGAGCACTGGATGCTATTGGCAAGCTGGCCTCCTGCAGGCGCTCTCTTTCTTCAAAAACACCGTGGTGTTACTGGATACTACCACTGCAGGAGGATGTTGAAAAAGCCCTGTGAATTAAATCAAGGCGCTGCTGCTTTAGCAGCAGGGTGAATGTCTTGTAAACGCGTGGGCTGTGTGGCTCTTCTGAAAATGTTGCTGACTTTCAGACCACATAGCGTGTGCTGGCGTGGAGCTTGAGGCTCCCAGGCTGCACAAATAACACTTTGGCAGCAGCGATGCTACAGCAAGAATAATTTAAGGACATCCACAGCTGAACTTGTAGGTAGAGGTAACTGCTTTTATTAAACTAACACAGTGGTAAGAATAGATAGCCATTAAGGCACACAGCCTTTCTTGAGCTTTGAAACAGAAGCAGCAAGTCTGAAACCAAAATATGACTTCTGAATCGTTGCTCTGTCTATAACAAGGTGCTCTCAGTGGAGGAACAGATGCTTTTCATGACAGGACAGTGCTGCAAAACAGGGGATTGTTCTGACACCCGTTCAGGGAGTTGCTGCTATTTCCTCTGTGTTAGATCAAAGAAAGGACAGCCACATCCTGATCCTTGCAGTGTTTGGAAAGGGGAAAAGACGTGCTCTGAAACAAGCCCAACATGCCGGAGGTCAGAGGCCAGCTGGCATACATGCACTCAGGTCTGGTTTGCTGAGTGTGCAGAGTGTGCAGAACGGAATCTGGACTTTGGATATGGCAATAATAAATGCTAACTTGCATGTCCGATAAGAGTGTTCTGTCTATTGCACTTCTTCTATTCTTGCATAGAGAAATCAGTGGACTGGTACCTGCTGCAATTAGAGATAAACTATAAGGGGTGTGGCTTTTCTTTTCCTTTTTTTTTTTCTTTTTGCTTTTGGGTTATGGTTGCTCTTACCAAAGACATATGAAAGTGCAGCGTCCCTTGTGCAAATTTAACAAATCTGTATTGGTGTGCCACTTTAGGCCCGTAGCAGATTTCTTCCATCCTGAGAGGCTGAGTTTTTTGTTTGACTAAACAAAAGGCATTCCGAAGGTGACTGCAGCATGCAGCTGTCTCTGTCAAAATTCTCCAGCCCTAATCTGGAGTGATCTCGTCTCTCAAAAACAGTATTTTAGCCTTTGAACTTATTTGACCCTGATGATACTGCTAAAAATAAATGACAATTGTATTTGCTTTTTAAAATATAGGTGCTTGTCCACCGAGTGTTCAGAGCTAACGCTGTTGGGCAATACCACTTTGGGGTGACTGGGTATCCGAACTGTCTTGTGCACATTTGTGGGTTTGATTATTAATGAGGGGTTTGGATAGGTTTTTAAACACCACAACTGAAATTTCAAAAGGGTTGTGCAGCCTTGCAGGTTGTCAGTGCTGCTCAGAGCTAAAACAAGTTGATGTTGCATAGACGCAGCAGATTTGAGTGAGTCACAGTAATAAACTAGGAAGTGCAAAAGTTGATAGAATAGAAATACAAAAAAAAAAAAAAAAAAAAAGACAATCTGTTTTTTTCCCCATCCACAAGTATATGAAGCATCTTCAGACTCGGATAAGTGACCTATAGATTAGCCAGTATTCAGCAGCTGTCTTACAGTACAAATAACACTGATCCATTCCAGGCATAAATCTGTCTCCTTCATTTACAAAAAGAGCCTATTTCCTCTAGAAAAGGCATATCTAAAATGTATATGCAGACTGGGTGGATTATTCTAGAAGTGTTTTCATGTGGAGTTTGACTGCAGCAGTATTTTAAATTTCATTCTTGTTTCTGCCTGTGGCTTCTGGATGTGTTAGTCCCAGTAGGCATTTTTCAAGCTCTGACCCTGCTAACACTTTGTTCAGATTAATCTGAACCTGATGATGAAGCTGATTCATCTTTTACAACCCTCCTGCCATCCAGGGTAGTTCTAGAGCAACCTTTTTGCCACGTTGAGTACCTGGAGGCATTCAGAGGTGTTCTCAAAATTTTTTAGTGTGTCGTGCTTCTAATGTTTGCAAACTTTCCAATACTTGAGACTGTCTTGACTAAGGGAGAAACCATTCAAAAATGCAGTGTGGTTAATAAGCATGGGACCGGGGAGATTATGGAGCATATCTGAAAACCTGAGGGCCCATTGCAGTCCAGGAACATCTGGTCAAAATTCTTGTATTTATGAAATTTATGAAAGCTGTGACATGAAAAACAGCCTGGATGTGGAATCAGCAGGCGCAGCTGATGTGATAATCCTTACGTTAGCAAAGATTATTTTAGCTCCCAGTACTGCCGCTGCAATGAGAAGTTCCTTATTGACATGAAAAAGAGCCCAAAGTCCTGACAAGCTGGGATGTCGTGTAATCTCTGCTTAGTGGGTTCTAAGTCACACACTCGTTCTGTTTGCAAGCCTGGATTGCCTCAGGCAGGTCATTCCACACCCTGACAAAACGACATTTCTTAGCTAACACAGCCAGAAAGACACCTTTTTCCACCGAAGTATGCAAGACACTGTGTTCACCACAGGGCTGAGATAGGAGCGTTAGGAGGAAATGGCATACTGCTTATTTGAACGAGTTCTGAACCTGAAAGGCACGCTCACTAGTTCAATGCACTTGGTATTTTTAACTCCGAGTATTTAGCTGCGTTGATCTGACTTTCTACAGAATGGGAAAAATGTATTACTCAGTTTCTCTTCTGCCTTTTGTAGGAATTTTCCTCCAGCTTAAACATAAAAATATGGGGCAATGTTTCAATATTAAAGGGCTAGAGTTCTATTTTCTGTCTTGAATATGTATTTCAAAGCATCAATTTATGCCGCTATAGACTCATGAAAACACTTTACAATAGGACCTGAGCCAGCACTACTACTGCTAGAGGTCCCTGAAAAGAGCTGAATCCAAAGGAGAATGAGCAAGCACTTGATGTTGAGTCTCTGTAATCGGATGCTTCAGTAGGTCCACAAACTGATGAAAATGGGAAAAAAATAAAAATAAAAAGTGTATTTCTTTAAGTCTGTCCTTCTGTTTAAAGTATCTCTTATTTTTAGATAGATTTACTTTTGGGAGGCTAGGGGAAATCAAGGAATAAAGTCACTGTAATGAACGTGCATGTTATCAACTTTTTTTTTTCTAGAGTAATGAGTACCTTAACAGATACTGTGTGATTTGGGTGAATGATCCTAAACCTCTGCAGTGCATCCTGCCATGTCCAGCAGCGGATGAGAGCACCGGGGGCTGCAGCGTCCGCGACAGCCCCCGGCTGGGTGAGTGCAGTAAGTTTATAAGAAATTGGCACAGGAGAGGCCTCGGACAGGAGGTGAAGTGAAGCCATCTGGCCCAGGAGCTGTCTGCTCTTCACACACTGAACTGCAGCTCTTACGTGTTCAGGCAAGGCTGTCCTGTTGGCTGCAGCAACTTGCAGTGATGTGAGGAAAATTGTGAGCTAAAGTCTTTGTGACAAGGGGTTGGTCCAAGCCGTACGGGCCCTGGTACAACCCAAAACCCCCTCATGTTAGGCGAGCTGCCTGGGGCACAACTCGGTGAGGGTGACTGTGCCTGTGTTCCCAGAAGCTGCCTGCCTTAAGCAGTTTTGCCAGCTACTTGCTGACTCTTTACCCCATTCCAGAAGCTCTTTTTCAGTTGAACGCAGCCTGAGCTGAATGCAGCTTCTTGAACTTGTATTTTCAATCTGTTGCCTGCCTTTCTTTTTTTTTGGAAAAGAACAATGGTGCAAGACAGCTAGCCTCTTTCTGCCTCTTTCTCAAAATACTGCCTAAATTTTTTAAATTTTTTTTTTAAGCAAATATGAAGAAAACCATCTTTGTACCCCTTGGGCATCTCTCAAAGTGTCAGTCCACAGATACTGAGGATCTCTTTGTCTCCAAAATCAAATCAATTTCTGTCTGGAAAGACACCTTGAAATAGGGATCCGACAAAAATGAAGACTTAAATTCCTAGCCAGATCAGTTGCTATCCCAAGAGTTACGATGACATGACTGTAAAGAGATTTTCTCAACAGGCAACTAAATGCATTTGCAGAACTAGCCGACTGCAAGATTGGAACAACCCGTACGGCAGGGTACATGCTGCAGGGAGAAAAAGTAGGAACAGTTGTATATGTTGTGTATGTAAGCCAGTGAGTATCATGCAATATCCAGTCACTTCCAGAGCAGTGCGAGTTTGGGTTGGTTCATAATGTTTGCAGGGCAGAAGTTGGGATTTATCACTGTTAAATATTTGTAGGGTGCCTGGCGGTGTGGCAGGTAATCGCTGCTTTACCTCAAAGCGAAATACTTCACCAGGTGACTGCTTCCTAAGCCCCAGTGACACCCAGACTTTGAGCTGACCATCTCGAATGTTCCTCATGCCTCTGCAGAAGAAAAGCTGGAAATGATTCGTCAGTGCTAAAAATGTTATTTGAAATAAAACAGATTAAACTATCCCATGCTTTACAACAACCTCTGGTAATTTCCATTATTTATGAACACATTTCCCTGAAAATTTTCTCTCCAGGGATAGGATGTGAAATATCCACTTAAACAATAGAGAAAAGGGACTTTATAAACAGAATAATGAAACTGGCAATGTTCCAAGCACTCTAAATTAACACAGCTGAGCTAAAAATACATTTGAAGTGTTTTAAAGGTCATTTACCATACTGTTACAATATAGGTAACATCTGCAGGGAAAAATATTAATTTTGGTTTTCCTTTTTAAATATAAGACACTTTTTATTGTAAAACATTCTTCATACACAATTTTCCAAACTGATCATCTTGAGGCATTTTTCTGCAATCTTTCCTCTTATCTTTTCTTCAAGCAATTCTGTTATTTTTAACTTGGAAAGGCATAAAGTATGTTTGGCTTGCTTGTTACAAGATGGTGAAGAGAAGTTTTTTCTTCCCCTGGAAATTTTTCTTCCCCTGGAATTTTTTTCTTCCCCTGATTCTAGCAGGTTTTATAAATCCAGACATCTTTACCAGAACAAATCTCCAGCCCAGCAACAGCAGAAACAAAAAAAAATAATAAACTACTAGTAATTTTAATTAACATACAAGTGTTATCTTCATCTTCCTCTTAGTTACTTAAGTAAAGAATGAATCTGAAAATACTAATCCAGTTCTGATATTGATTACATGTCAAGTTTCATTCTGGTTTGAGTTTTATATTCGAGGGGAAAAAAATAAGTGCAAAACATAAAAGCAACTTTGTGTTTGCAGGAGAAATAGTGTAATGAAACCATCCTTATCCTTAATGAACCAGCTTGGCAGATAACTGTATATCTACTAAAGGATCCAAATATGAGAAAGAGCAGTTTTGGTTTCCAAAATAATCACCAAGTTCCTCTTTCTGTAAAGATTTATGCACGTATTTACTCATGTGAGCTTCCCATTAGCCTTCACAAAAAATTATCTTGTTCAGCAGGATGCATCTCATTAAAAAAAAAATGCTAAAGTCATTAGGGTAACACATGCTTTAAAGTCAGATCTATTCTTAATACTTTTGTTAATTAGGAGCCAAATTGCCTAGTGCTTTGCTGGATTGAGTCTATGTTACAGAAAGCATAAGTCACGTGAGGTTTCTGCCACAGATAAGAGTTGGTGTATTTTGTCTGGCCCTAGCCTGCATTTGCTTAGCACCGCTACGTGCAGGCAGAGTTTGTTCATCTCCTGCAGCAGATGAGACAACACAACCTGCTTGCCATTTTGACCCATAAGTAAATGTTGTTAAATCTAGAACTTACAACGCAGAAAGACATAACAGCCACTGAGTGTAATGAGTCTCAACACTGCTGTGGAAATGCTGTTTAAAAGCTCAGGACGTTCACGAATCTCTTCTACCATCTGATGAACCTAAAATGAAAAGGGACACTGGTAAGCATCCACTTTGCTAGCCTGGATGACATTGTTGGCAAACAAAAACTGGTGCAGATCACAAAGATGTTTTACCAACTGCAAAAATCTTGTGTTGCAAAAGTGGAAAATCCCAATGCAGTGTTTGATCGAAGTATAATCCAATAATGCATACAGCCTGGGAGAGAAACGATTAAATGAAGGCTTTTGCAGGACAAGAGGAAGAAAAAGGTCAGAATTTATCATTAAAATGTGAACTGCGAAAACTACAGTAAACATGTTGTTCTGAACAATCCTCCCTGGAAGAAAAATACTAGAAATGGTGCTACAGGAAACACCCCCAGCCAAATCAGCGCAGATACAGACCGAGGGATGTATTTTTAAAGGAAACATGAGCGTACAGCTGAGTAGAGGTGACAGCGCTGAGACAACCCGCATAGAGGCGGGTTGAGAAACTCAGAATTTGTTCAGGAGTGGAAATGGGAGCAAGGCTGAAGTTACAAGAGCTGCTACTCTGGTGTGGTGGAGGGGATGGGGGCAGCTCCTTGTGCTTGGGCCGAGCCCCGAGCAAGCCCCCATGGTGCGTGTCCTTCACGGCCACCCCACAGCCACCTCTGCTTTCGGCAGCGCCAACAGGGGATCCCGACACCCCTTTTCGAGCTGCTTCTGCCCGCCCTAATAATAATAATAAAGTCAAATACAGCTCGGCTCGGCCCGGCTCCGCCCGTCGGGGCCGCGCTGCTGCTGACTCAGCCGCGGGGGGGCCCCGCAGGCGTGGCGGCCGCCTCCGGGGCCATAAAGGGCCGCGGCCGGAGCCCGCCCCGGCCTCTCCTCGGTGTGAGGTGCCGCCGGCAGCATGACGGCCATCGGGGCGCAGGTAGGGCAGAGGCAGCCCCCTGGGGCTCGGAGCGGGTGGGGATGGGGGGAAGGAAGCTCCAGCTCCGGGCGCCCCCTCGGTGCTGTGTCCACCCCCTCCCCAAAGCCCGTCCCTGCTGGGACCCCCAGGCGAAGAGCCGGGCTCGGGGTGGGGGCAGAGCTGTGGGGGCTGCACCCCTGGGGTCCCCTCCTGCTCCCTCCATCCTTTTCCCCGTCCTCTGCTTCCTCCAGCCCGGGCAGGGAGCAGGATGAGGCGCTGCACGGAGCCCCAGCCCCCGACGTGCAGGCAGGCAGCGCCAAAATCACCTCAAGCGCTGCCACCCGTCCTGCGAGCCCCCCTCTGCCTCGTCCCCACAGCCTCCTGCCCTCCCAAAACACTGCTCCTAACTCTATTTCTCCTTCCCTTGAAGGCGCAGAGGCTGCTGGCGCAGCGGAGACCGCAGAAAGCCTTCTTCGAGACGCTGATCAGGAGCCTGATCATCCTGTGCGTGGCCATCGCCGTCGTCCTCTCGTCCATCTCCGTCTGCGACGGCCGCTGGCTGCTGGCGAGGGGCGAGCTCTTCGGGCTGTGGCACTTCTGCACCGTCAGCAACGGCAGCGTCCTGAAGTGCAGCACCGACCTGGGGCTGGCCAACGTGGAGGGGCTGAGCGTGGGCGTGATTCCCATCAGGAGCATGGTGTCCTTCGCCGTCGTGGTCGCGATCTTCGGCCTGGAGCTGCTGATGGTCTCCCAGGTGTGCGAAGACGCCAACTCGAGGCGCAAGTGGTCGATGGGCTCGGTCCTCATCCTTGGCTCGTTTCTGCTGTCGGCCGCTGGGGTTCTGAGCTTCTCCATCCTCATGAAGGATCACCTCACCTTCATGGGCTTCACGCTGACGTACTGGTGCGAGTTCATCGCGGCCTTTCTCTTCTTCCTCAACGGGATCAGCGGACTGCACATCAACAGCATAACGCACCCCAGGAACAGGGTAGGAAAAATCTAGGCGCCGAGGGTGTACTCTGCCTTTGTGTAATCAGCTTTGCCAATTAGACTGGAAAAAAAAAAGGGGAGTCTAATGAAGTTTGAAAAGGACACCATGCCTTAAATCACGTGCAAGGAGGGAAGCGTGAGGCAGATAATTGCAGAAGACTTGCCCAGCGGTCAGCGCGGAGGCTGGGACTGGCTGCTGCTGGCACGCAGCTTCCTGGGGGAATGGATGAAGAAGGAGGCTTCCTGCTGAGCCTGTGGAGGAGGAGCAGGCTGCAACCTACACAAGTGGGCTCAGCTTTTGAGGCTTACACCACGGAGCCTGTACTGGTGTGGGTTAGGTGCTGCTGGGCTTTCCCCTGGGCTCTGGAGCCTGTGAAGAGTGTGACGCACCTCCAGGGCATCTCACGGCTTTGTTCTGTCTCAGGGATGGATGACTTGTGCCTGGCCATGCTTACTGAAAACCTTCTCTGGGCCTCGCTCTCCTCCTTTTCCCTTTCAAAGGAGAAGGCATGCAGGCAAACTGATCACCTGTGTTGTGTCCTACAGCTGCAATCCCTGTCCCAGCCTCTTTAGGTCTGTCTCTAGCTCTGCTGAGCAGAGGGACAGGGCACTGTGGTTGTCCCAGGGCCCGAGGGCAGGCTCTGGGCGGTGCAGGAGTACAGGGAAGGCTGCACTTCGGGCAGCAGCACGTCCCTGGGCTTGCAGCCTCTCCCCTGCTGCTTGTCAGTGCCCGTAGAGCACCATGGTCAATGCCAAGTGCCCCTTGCCCATGCTGGCCCCCTCACAGCCTTTGCATAGTTTTCTGTGATGGGGTTTCCCTCCTCCTGGTTTGTTTTCCATCTGTCTGGTGATGGAAGAAGAGGGACAAGCTTTAGTTGGGCATTGTGGCTACGCAGATCATGCTTACTCCTGCATCTCGGCACACCTGGGGTGTTTGGTCATAAAGGCTTCCCTTCGAGGCAGTGGGAAATGCACTCATCCTCTAGCTGAGAGTTTTCTCTAATATTTCTCCTAAGCAGAGAAAACTCTAGGTCCTCCTGGTCACACCAAGTCCTTTTCTTCCCTTGATTAACACTGGATCTAGGAGGAGAAGCCTGTGATCACTTAAGGAGCAGCTGATGGGGGCAGCTGTGATCTCTCACAGCTGGAGGAACTCCAAGAGAGACTTGACTGAAATATTAAGGCTGGCCACCCCTTGCCATTGCTTTGTTAAGATCTCTAAAATTGTTGCAGCTTTGAAGTTCCTCATGGTGTCTGATGTAAAAGGAGAGAAGACCAAGAGGTTGTTTGTCCGAAATGTGTCCTCCCTGTGCAATGTACAACACTGACGGTGAGATAAATGTGTTCTGAGTATTTCAGGGTCTTTAGTTCAAAGTGTTTTGTTTTGTATCTGCTGTTAAGAGTGCTTGTATTTTGTTCTAGTACAGGTGTTGCTACATGTTTCATTCCTGTAGTTTGTTTGGTAGCTGTACAGCAAGATTTTCATTTCCTGTGCAGCGCGTTTAACACAAGTTTTCACCCAAGACAAAAGCATCACAGCATGAAGGCAAGCCACGAGTAAACAGATTCATGTTTAAAATGCTGGTTGTAAGGCAAGAATTGTAAGAGCATACATCTGCACTTACTGAACGCACTCGGGGGGGACTTCCTTCATGAGGACAGTCCCTGTGCCTTCTTGGGTGGCCATAATCTTTTAAGATAATGTTCTGGGGTAAGTGGTGCAGCCACTCACAGAGAGAGACTGCAAGGTGCAGTCCCAGATGGCCGCACCCTGGCGTTACCAGGTGGTTGGGTGCCCAAAGTGACCACCGATCAGCCCTGGTGTGCAGGGATGCCCGTGCTGGGCAGCACAATTTCTCCTTTTTCTAGGAACCTGGGGGTATCTTCACAGAGTGCCTTCCTGCTGGCATCCAAACAGAACTGAACTGCGTGCAGGATGCTGCCTGCAGCCCCTGCTCCCTTGGGAGGAGGGTGGGCAGAGGCAGCGTGTCCCCAGCCGGTGCCTCTGACTCCACTCAGAGGCAGATGACAATTGGCCTTTGAGTTCACGCAGGGCTCAGTGCAGTTGAGGGTGATTTCAAGATGCCCTCTGCTAACTAGAGAAGAGGTCTTTTGTTGGGGGTAGGGAATCCTCTAAGAGAAATACAGTAACTTTTTTTATTTTTTCAACTAGCTTTCTGTAGTACTGCTTGACTTCCTGGTGCTGGGTGAAAATGCATTTTGGTGGCTAAATGCTACGAAACAGGGTTGATTGTCTCAGAGATGTCCTCGTATACAGCATCCTGTGCTGCATTTGGTAACCGTTCATTTTCTGAAGCCTTTGGAAATGTCAAGCAAGCAATATTCCTGAATTTTGTTAAATAAACTTCTTTGAAAAAAAAAAAAAGAGAGAAAATTGTCCTTTTTTATATATTTGGAGGTTTAAGGGGAGGAGTGGGGTTAATGTGCCCTCCCAGGCGCTGTCTACCCAGCCAGACTGATGAAGAAATGGCAGCTTGGGGCTTTGCTGAGCTCCCACAGGGGGAGATGTGGCTGCATGGCCACCGCTCACCCCTTTTCCTTCCCCTCCGTGTCCGCACCAACCCAAGCAGCCAGCTCGCTTGCTTGTGTTTTGAAACAAGGGGTGGTCAGCTGCATTTTGTGGGAATTAGAGATAACCTTACAGGCTCCGAATGACTTCCTGCTGCTGCATGGGCTGTTTACCAGCTAAAGAGCTCTTTCCTGTGTCCTTTGCCTCCCTTTTCCCACACCGCACCCTGTCTGAAGCATCCTTACTCTTCCCCCAGCTTTGCTCATTTGGCCTGCAGAAGTGCTGTCTGGGTTCAGCTGGATTTGCACAGGTTTTATTTAAAGCTCGCTGTACTAATAGGCTTAGCTAAATGCAAGAAAGGTAAATTTCCAAATCACCACTGCATGAGTTTATGTAATCTCAAGCAAGTTAATTAGCAGCTGGTGCTCTCCTGAAGGGAGAGGCCATTGGCCTGTCTCATAAGGTCTAATTTCTCTTAAAAGCAGGGTAATGAACACCACCTCCTGCTGATGAGCTGTTCTGACTTGTCCAGTTCCTAACTTCACCCGTAAATGTGTGCGCAAACCACTGCTTGTGGATAAGAACAAGGAAATCATGGTCTAGGGCATACTAACTAGGGACTTATCCTGGACTGTTTGTTGTATTTTCATTTTAAATCTACAGTGGCTTTGCGGTCTGTGCTTTGATGGATGTCAGGTTTAGGGGTTGAGCATTGCTTGTTTTTGTGACTCTGGACAAGGCGATTGCAGGAAGATTGCTGCACTTGCCTGGCTTCTCCTTCCCTCAGCTGGGGCCTGTGCTAAGCAGGTAATTGCCCTTCTTCTAAACAACCTTCATGGGGTTTCACTTGTTTTCCAGCCACGGATCCAGACCCTGTGAACTGGCACAGCCCCCTTCTGAAACAGTTCCTTGCAGCTCCCCCAGCGCTCAGAGAAATGTTGCACAATGTCATTATTCACTGCAAAACAATACAGCTTTTCGGCTTCTGACAGTTTTGTTGGAACTTCCTCGTTGCTGTGTTGGAAGAAAAAAAAAAAATCATTAATCACTTCCTCTTAAATTCAGCTTTATGTCTGAGCGCTGGCATTGGGGCTGAAGGAGCTGCTGCCTGCGGAGCTGCAAGTAGCCTCCCACGGGACTAGGAGAGAATAGCCACAGGTTTCCCAAGTCTAACACCAGCATCGCAGAAGGATGTTAAACTGCTTGTCTGAACGATGGTGCGCCAGTCCTATTTACTGCTAACAACTGCCTGCTGTACCCTGAATACTGAGGAGTGAGAACTGAGAAGGGAAAAATCGGTGCACAGTAAATATGGAGCTTTCGTTTAGCCTCTGTTGATAATTTCAGGACGCTGAAGTTTGAGTCTGTGTGCCTTGCACCCAACCGTCTCCTGATTTTCATCTCATCTCACCTCTTTCCCCTACTATTCACCAGCACAGTTAATCACGGAGACACCAGCAGGGAAGAGCGCTTTCGCATTGCTGCTGCAGAAGACGGGAGAGCTGGCATCACCTGCTATGGTGGTGCTTGGCAGCAGCCTTCTACATCCAGGTCCCAGCACCATAAGGTGCAGGGATGCCTGCTTCTGGCACCTGCCCTCATGGACCTGCTCTTCCTAAAGCTCCGAGGACTCCCAGTGCCAGCTGATGTGATGTCGGAGGGGTTTTATGGAGGCAGTGCTTGCTGCCCGGGTGCTCAGTGCCTGGAGTAAATGTGCAATATGGCAATCTGGGAAGCTTCCTCTTATCTGTTTATTTCAGGAAGGTCAAATAAAACCAAAGTGACCGTGTAAAACAATAGCTTATGCTTGAGCACAGATTTAGAAAACCACCAACACCAAAAACAAAAATACAAAATGCAGCATTTTCCTCCAGGGGATGTGGTTCCTGCTGTTTGGCCAGGACTTCTGTACAAATAGGTAACACACTCAACCGTAGCTCCACCCAGCCTTGTGCCATCAGTGCTGGGCTGGGCTCTTGTGGGATAGCAAATAATTGCATCAGAGCTCCTTAATTAAGCTTGATTGGATCTCTGGATATGTATTTCTTCATTCATGCCAGAAGAAGGCATTTGCGTTTAAAGCAAACAGCTGCTTTGGCTTCAATTATAAATGTTTAATTCTCAGACAGGGAACACAGAGGTTGTTTCACTCTTCATGGTCTTACAGTAGCTTTTGTGGGCCACAGAGGAAATTAGGCTAATGGTTGTCTCTCTTTGGAAGTATCTGACTTGCTAAATACCCTGGGACTGAGTGAAACTCACAGATACTTGAAGGATCTGCATGGCTTGAGAAAATCAGTGAGAAGCAAGAGCTTTTACCCAAAGGTGTACAGAGAGAGATCTCCTTTCTCTCCGTCACAGGACTGATCCTGCTTCTGCTGTTCCTTCCACTGGTTGTGGCTGAGTTTTAAAGGACTAGGTCGACTCAAAACCTTGCCATTTCCAAACAACATAAGTTTAGGACTAATTCCTGGGAACTCTTGCCAGTTCACTGAATTGTACTTGATTTTTTTTTTCCCCTCTGGTGTTAAGAGGCTCAGCTCTCCCATTGCAGGGCGACAAGCATCGGCAGGCAAAGCCAAACAGGCAGAGGAGGCTGAACGAATACAAAACCCTTCCCCCTGACAAGGCATCTGTCCCGGCCCAGCCACGGTACCCAGTTGATCAGGAGAACACAGGCTGTGCAATCTATCAACACCTGCAGGAAATAATGGTATTTTTCCTGTCCTGAATCTTGCCGTTTGAAGCAGCGCTAATAACAGCACTCAACAAATTGCTTCGGTGCAGGTAATTCAACTTTGAAGGCATCCTTTGAATCTCTCTGCATGTTTGTCTTCTGGTGAAATGGCAGAAGCCTGCCATGAGGGCTTGCTGTAAATAGAAGGTTATTTGAGTGGTTTTGGCAGAGCAGTTGGGGAGCGCCACTCAGTCAGCGCTTGGCAGAGCTGTGCTTATTTTGCCAATGTCATATGGGTGACCGGGAGTGGGGAGAAGGTGATAAATGCCACTTGCTTTCTGTTCAGTCATCTTTGCCCTCAAGGAAAGCTAGGCAAGAATTGCCTCAACTTGGTAAATAGAGATAAAAAATCAAATAGCAGACCTGACTGACTGCATTTGTCAGCTGAATTCTTTCACCCCTTTGCAATTCAAACCAGGGCAGTTCTCATGGCCACTCTTGGAATTTGCTACAATAGCTTCTACCTTTTCAAAAACCATACCGAAACCCAAACAGGACCACAGCTGTTTCCAAGATCACCACTGTTAGAAGAGGCAAAGGAAGAAAACTTTGATGCTGCCACTATCGCTGAAGAATACCTGAGCAATGGGCATACAATCACAGTGGAAGGAGGAGCTCAGATGTGCTTTATATTCTCAGTGTCCATCATCATTCCACCACAACAGAAAGACTTTGAACCTTGGTGAACTTTAGGTACAGTGACTTTGTATTTCAAACCCATAGTCTGTGTTGAAGGACGGTATTCAACCTTCATCTTACAAAGCTGAATATCCTCCTAGCTTCAACAGCAGAAGAAATACAAAACATCTGAAACTCACCCGCCTGGCCTAGCATTGGAAGGGAGCCACGTGGAAAATGAGAGGCTTCATTTAAGGTAGAAATAGCAGCTTAAAAATATTGGTGTGGAAAGAAACACAAATGACTGTGGCCAGAAACCCAAGGAAGAGCATAATGTTTTGGCCCATTTTGCCTTGCAAAATAACTTTGGTGCTACACAGGATATAGACGAACAGATGTGCTTCAAGAACTGCTGATCCACAGCCAAGTCCTGCTCTCAGATATATACACAAGACTCCCAGCACAGTCCATGGGATTTAACCACGTGTATCTGAGCACGGAGGTATCCCTCAAGGGTGCAGTGTTAAAGCATGCTTGATCTTTGGAGGTTTGCTCTCCTGTGTTGTGGTGGGCTCGACTTTACTACCTGCATCTCCTGAGTTAAGCCACTTCCTCCGTTACTTGCTGAGGTGCTAACGTGCTGAGGCAAGTGTTTGCTTAAATGCCACTGCCTCCATTTTCTCTGAACTTCCAGCTGAACCTAGGTAGAAAGATCACAAAATACTTGGTTCAGCTAGTTTATCTTGGAGCCCAGCATTGCAGAGAGCAGTATAACAGGAAAAGGAGAGATGGTTACCTTTGCCAAGGTTTGGATTTATTTATTTAACCCCCACTTTAAGGGATTAGGGTAGGGCCTGTTTCTTGTCACTTCTAGTGATACGGCTGTTGCAGCTACACAATTTTCTGTGAACCTGTTTTTCTGTTTAATTGATGTTGAAACTGTTTGTGTAGACTAGCTGGCCTTAGTGTCTGGTTTGGATTTGCCAAAGATTTTTATTTTTTTAATCAAAACGGGACATTTTGACACAAAGGTGAAAAAAATGCGGATTTTCTTTTCAAAACAACTTTGTTTTTCTGAAATCCTGTTAAAGCACCATCCAACATTTTTCAAACCCATTCTCCCTTTCAAATCAACTTTCCTTCCAAACTTAGGAACTAACAGTTTGGGTTCTTTTCTTTCCTTCCAATAACCTCAGAATCTCCCAGGTCTGGATAACATTTCACCTTGCCTCTACCAGCAGCAGTATTTTAGAGTGCCAGTTCTAGCCCAGGAGCCTGGGAGTTATAGGACCACAAAGGCAACAGACCTTCTTCCAAAAGCTTTACCTTATGAGAGTCCTAATAAATTTGGACTCGCTACAGCTTTTGCTAAATTCCCTCCTAAGGATCAAGCAACAAAAACAGACACAGGATGACAGATCATGCCATCATACATCAGAATCAGGTTCTGATTTTCAGTGTGACTGTGTGCGGGATGGTTCTCCCACCCTCCACTCCCAGACAGTAATAATGGTATCTGATTTAGGAACGGGTTGCAGTAGATGAGAGATGAAGTTCGCATCTGGCGTATGATTACTTAGGTTTGCCAGGTCTGGGAGGTATTTCAGGAGTGACGATAAGTAGCTGGGAAGAAAACTATCAGATAAAACATGTAATTCATTGGAGAAAACATACCCTACTAATTAATGAGATATACGTGAGCAATAAAAAAGAATGTTATCTACACAAAACTCACCTCACCATTAAGAAAACAATAAAGTACAGCCACGAAAAAACCCTGAAAGATAAAAAGAACCATAGTCACAGAATTAGAACTGCAGTTCCAGCTTTTAAATTCAGATGATATATCTCAAAGGAAATCAGACAACTTGTTATTGCCACTGGGCCTCTGTGCAGAGCTGCACGTTATACCTCATATTACTTAAAGAAAAGAGTAGCATGTCAACGATTACCTGGAACGATCCAAGAGCCAGTTCAAAAAACAGCTGAATTTCCATTGTGCCAATACTTGTGTCTTCGGGGAAGAAAGCAAAGATGATGTAGTGAACCCCAAAGAGTGGGATAAGGAGGAGTGTCGACTTGGCAAGCTTCCTGGGAGTGGAAACAAAGGGGAAAACCAGTGTAGAAGGGGCAAGAGGAGCCTGGTGGGTTGATGTGGTATAAAGTCACGGTGTGCAGGACGTACTTGTACTGGTTGAAATCGTTGCTCCGTCTTTCAGGTGAGCTGAGCTTCTTCATCAGGATTCTTAAAATGTTGATGAAAAGAATGAAATTAATCTGAAAGTAAAAAGAAAGAAATAAAAAGAAAATGAAGGATATGAAAAAAAAAAAGAAAAAAAAAAAAGCAAACAACAAAAGTAGTGTCCCATAACCAAAAGCGAGCTGCCAGGTCTCAGCAGAGTCAGTTGGGGGTGTTTTGGCTGAGCTGGCAGAACTGAGGGGCTGGGGCTGGTCTGTGGGTTTGCAGCTCTCCCTGTCCCCATCCCTGTCCCCTAACCTGTCCCATGCCTTTCCAGCCTGCCCAGCCGCTCAGGGCTTGGGAACTGCCTGGTTTTCCCAGAGTTTGCTAGCTATGGTCAGGACTTTTTAATGACAGAAATCACTGAAGTGCAAAGGGGTCAGGAAAGGCCTTGGGGAGCCCCTGTGTGTGCTGGGGGATGAGGCCACAGGCCCTGCTTTGGCTGCCAACACCACCTGCGAGCACCCTTTGCTCCCTGCCAAAAACACCAGAATGGTTTCAGATGGCAGAGGCAAAGCCATTAACAGTGGGGATAGGGGAGAGCTGGAGCAGTTCTTCCTTCTTCAAACCCCCCTCTCTGAGGGCAGATCCCACGTAAAGATGCTGATCTACCACTGTGTTTGAGCGCAGGTGAAGCAATGGCTGCTTCTGTGGGCTCGAGCCCCTGACACAGAGCAGGAGCAGCAGTGGAGGCCATGCCCGCTCCCACAGCAGCACCCAGCCACCCTTGGCCTTATCTGCACCACAATGGGGCAGGCAGCACCCGGCTGCACGCCCACAGCACCTTTCACAAGCTCCCATGCCAGGCCTTCAACCCTTCCCTATGTGTATTGACACATACAAGCGCCATTACAGGCATGCAACCACCTCATGGTGGCCTGTGCATGCAGGGCTCCAGGGTGGTGGGTTTGGTGGGTTTCCTCAGGAAACAGGGATCAACATCGGATGGGACAGACCCAGGGTGTCCCTGGGGCAGGGGGCTCCCGAAATTAGTGGGTGAGGAGGAAGCAAGCGTGGCTGTAGAGGGAGGGTGGGGAAGGCTGAAAGTTTGGGAGCTGGGGGTGAGGGAAGGAGCAGAGCTGTGAGGGGCTGTGGTGGGGAGTATGAAGGAAAGGCAGTGAGATACGGTGGAAAAGGGGGGGAAATGGGGCTCAGGTCTGAGGATTCTGGTGATTTTTTAACCCAGCGGGTCAGACCTGAGCCCTGTAGGCGGTGCAAGACTTTTTGCTGATGAAAATCCACTGGGAATGGGAGGACTGTGGGACTCCCGCTGGGAGGAATTGCCAGTGGGCAGCACAGCCAGCGTGTTAGTCTGGGAGGACAAAGGAGCTTATCAGTGTTGATTTTCTGCCCTTTGAACTGCTAAGGACTGTGTGCTGTGAGGAATAAAGAGATTAGATCTGAATTCTCAAGGACTGGCTGTTTGTTTGCATCTGTAGCTATGGGCTTGAGAAAAGCCTCTGTTAGGTAAGGAGGCAGGGCCTTGCAGAGGGCTCCCGCCTGAGGCATCTGGCTAGATGTGATCAGGGTTTCAAGGGGATAGTGGGTGGCCCTTAAAAGATAAACCAAGACTGTGATTTTCACCTTGCAGAACTTCTGGGCCTTGTTGGAATTTAAATATTGCTGAGCAGCTCCTTTTCATTAGGGAAAATAAATGCTGTGGCCTCGTTGATCCTGAATCACTTTGTGTGGTCTTCTGTTTGTCTTGTGGGGGTGAAGAATTGCTCGGTGGTAAAAGGGAGCAGGGTTTAAACCACCACCTATGCTTGGGTTTCCAAGAGAGTGTGCAAGTGCTGCAGTTTGTGATTTGTAAACATAATGGAGCCTACTGGCAACACGAATACCTCAGCTTCTGCATTCTTACCCAGTGTCAGCAGGTCACTTGAGAGTAGCTAGCAGCTCACATGGTTCTCTAGTAAGGCTTCAAATTAACCACTGCAGACCCCCAGGGCCCACACTTGGGCAGAACTGTCTCCATGAAGCAGCTGCAGCCCCTTGGTACCTTAAAACTATAAAGGTGAGCACCAGCAAATGCTCAAACCCTAGGTGTTGAATATTATTTGTGCCGAAGTGTTAACATCTCTGCCTTGTACTGGGCAGGTTCACACTGAGTTTCAATCCCTACGTCTCATTTCAGTGAGCAATGCCTTAATAGCCTAATTGCAGTCTACTAACAGACAGCGCATGAAGCCTGTGAGCTGCTCTCATTGCTCAAAACAAAAGCTAATGATCATGTAAGGCAAGTTGTTTTTGGCTTTGCTAAGAGGGGCAGTGACCGTGAGACACAAAGGCTATTGTACTGAAATGTACAGCCACTTGGTTTCTCCTCCGGAGCCTTTCTTGAAACAGTCCAAAACAAGCTTCCACAAGCCAGCCAAATTCGTATGAAATCAACAGGATGTGGAAACCTGATCTTCTTCAGGCTCTTGCTTCTTGGGAGGACACTCTAGCTTTCCTTGCAACTTAGCTTCGGGGCATTAGTTACTGACAAAATCATGCTGAGCAGAAGTTGCTTAAGCAGTAATTCATGTGTCACGCCAGTTCAGGCACATGTCTAAGATCAGTTCATTAACACACTTCTAAAGCATGTTGAGTAGATGATCTCTGACTTCACAATATTTGAAAATACAGTTTGAATGTGCTTGTCCCAGAAAAGACTTACAAAAATAGACAAAACTACAGGGCCTTTAATGATCCACCAGGTATTGGCATTAGTGTTAATGTCCCAACACCTGCAAAAATAGAAAAGAAGGTGCATTCAGTTATCAACGCACTGGTGTCTTTTCAAAGGGGTTTAGTCTGTTTTGTACTTTAGATGGGCCCCCATTCCCTCTTCTACAGAATTAATTTCCTGTTCCCACTTAGCTGGTGCAACATTTTGGGAAACCCCTGACAGAAAAATGTTCACCTCCACTGGACAAAAGTATATCCTGCCCTTGAATTACATCCACTTTTCAAAATTTTGCAAGGGAGAAGAGAAAGGAACAAAGCTTCACTGATCAAATGTAGGTGTTTAAAACATCATGGGCAGAATTTGTTCTTGAAGGACATCTCCCACCCTTGAAAATGGTCAAATTAAAATTGAGGCTCTCTCTCAGCTTGTTCAGCTGGATGTTTCTTCCCTACCTATGCTGGGAACCTATGCTGGCTTGCACCACAGTTGAAATGCAGTTGATTTGCTTGGCTGTCAGTGGTTAGGAATGAGCAGGAAATCCCTGCAGCAGCCTGCACAACTCCCCACTCCAAATAACTTACCCAGTGTTTTCATGGAGTTGCCTTGCAGTGGCCCACGCAGCCACAAAGACACTCGGGGCACCTGCAATTGGAAAAGCCAGTTACTGCTCTACAAATCCATCCCAGAGGCACAACAAAGTGACAATTATGCACATGAAGAGGAGAGCCGTTACCCCATCCAAGGGTGATGAACCACCAGAAGAACTTCCTTTCAGAGAAGAAGGAAATTACCAGGAGAGCGTGGAGGTACAGTCCCTCCACGAGAAGCCAGCTGTAGTTAGACATAATGCAATACTGAAAGAAGACCATGGTAAGCTTGCATCCAGCCTGAGGAAACAGAGAATAATTAACTTCTGCTTGTGTTTGCATCTATTTTCAGAGTTTAAAGCACTGAACATGGCTTTCAGTGCCCTGCCCCCCAATATTTACAAGATATTTTGCTGCCAATAAAAACAACAAAGAATTTATATATTTCAAAGTTCAATGTGTTCTTATATTCTATCTGTGAGCCCCATTACCAGGATCTAAAATCCACGTAAGAATCTCCACCCTGGTGGTGCGTCCCATGTCTATGGACTCTGACACCTGCATTTAGGTGCCTCTGTGTTCATGTGCTGAACTCCTGGTCTCTTCTGTGGCAATCTAGTCAATGTAGTCAAGCTGATGAATGCAGACACCTATTTTAGACCTGCCTGGGTACCCTCTGTGTCATTACTTGAGGGGACTGTAGATACCTGCATATGGGTATCTATAGTTGCACCTCTGTTTCTGTGTGTTTCATCCAGCCTGGGCCCCTTTTTACATCCTCATACCTCCCTCACCCATTCAGAATCCTCCCAAAACAGGGAAATCTCAGCCTGGAACAACTAATGCATGGGGTTGAGCAACAGAGAACGGACAGGGCATACTTTTCCCCTCCCACACCCTGGTATGACAAATAGAAACCTAGGATGAAAATTTTCTTCCCTGCACACTAACTGTGGCTGGGATCCTGCTGGGAAGCTGAAGTGTGGAATAAGCTGGAAGGCAAAGGGTTACCGTGTGTGCCTCACAGTAGTTTGTGTCTTCAGAGGAGAACAAAACAGCATCTTTGATGAAGCTAGATGAGGCTCGCAAAATGAAGGATGTGAAGAGATGCATGTGGATGTAGTTCCTCGTACAGCGAAGTCTTCTGCAAGGAAAAGAGAGAGCTTCTATGAAGATACATTCCTAGACAAAGCAGGAAGCTTGTGTCTGTAACCACCAGGTTTCAATCCTTATTAATGCTGAACTGACAACTTAAGAACACTGTTTTTCTGACTGTGAAAGAAAGACTAATGGATTTCCAAAGAGGAATACCCTAGAGAAGACCTTGAAAAGCAGAAGTCACATCTGCTCCACTCAGGTACTAAAAATAGCTGAACGTTGCCAGAAGAACTGAGATTTAATGCTAATATGCTTGGTTTAGCTCCCATCTCTCCTTCCCAGGGCATCATGAAGCCAAGGAGCTGTGTTTATCCACACTGAGGTTGATTTCTTTGGTTTGTCTCAGCAGTGCATTTGTGCCTGCAGTGTTTTCTGTATTATGTCTCCAGATAATTCAAGCTAGGAGGCCTTGCAGCCTCATGACTAGTCTGTGGAGTAGTTGGGGTTCCTCTGACCAGAGGTGCCTCCCTGATATTTACTGTAAGGGAGATGCATTTCACTGAATAAGCAGCAAAGTGCAAATTCCAGGTTATAAAGCTGTATGAAGATAAACCTACTGTCAGGTCACTGCTGTAAGCCTGCAACACCTCTCTAGAAGTCAATGCACTGGTTCTTAGAGCAAAGTTTTAGCCACAGTCTTGGGTGGGGTAAAAAACATTAGGAGGAAAGACACTCTGTCCCAGGGACACCAAAATCATGGCAAAATCTTAGCAGCGAGATGGTGCAAACTCCAGTCTGCAAAATAGCATAAACTATATTTTGGAAAGGACAGGAGTGCACAATATGAGGAACAGCCCTGACGTTTGCTGTGAGACAGGACTCAGCTCATTTCCATCACTGATTTATGTGAAAGTTTTCAGAAATACTGCGATGTTTAACTTGCCCTGAAAGCCAACAGAAGGGTCTGTGTCAGCTGAGATGACCAGACGTCCTGCCCAAAGGCAACCCAGTGATGCTTCTCCTCACCTTAAAGAGGCCAGGACCACTAAGGCTATTGTCAGCGTCACAAGGGAGGTGCAGTATCCAATGGTGTACATGGTCTTCAGGGTCATGAAATAGGCTTGCTGCAGGGGAACAGATATAAACATCTTTACCTTTGACTATCTGGTAGAAATCAGCCCATACCAAATGAAGGCTATCCCTTATTTCTTATCAAGTAGATTTTCTTGTAAAATCAGCTGTGGAAGTTTTAAACTGAGCAACACTCACTGCGAAGCATTTGTGCTGAAGAACACTTATACCCACAACCCCACCTGGGGTAGATCACATTATTCAGTCTCTCCTTAACAGATTGAGCACATCCCTTCCCAGAGCTCCAGAGCTGCAGATTTGTGGTCACAGGCACTCGGACTCACTCTTTTCTCATTTGCGGTGTCATTGACGTTGTAGCCACAAGCAATATCTGGTCTTGGATATGGGTCTGACCAACCCTCGCTGGTACAGTTTCGGTAGATAAAACCTGTATGGTAACAACAGCAAAAGAGACAAAACCAGGTGTAACTATTTCCAATCGTATCGTTGTTCTTATCATCCCCAACATGAAGGGTTCCTCCAAGAGCAAGGAGAACATTTTTTCCCCAGGCAGTGTACTCAGCATAGCTGGAGGTGAAATGCAGCTGAGCTGATTGTGTTGATACTTGCCCAGTGTATTTGTGTGGGTCATAATATTGTTTGCCAACTCAGGGATGACTGTGATGGATGTGTTTTTATTAATTGCAACATAAATAATACTGTTCGGTACATCTGGTGTTTCTTGGCCAGAGTTCCAAGATCAGCAAACATATGACTTGTTCGGTCATGGATTCATACTCCATACAAGCCTGATACTTTCTTGGACGTTCTCACCACCTCAGGGTTGTACTGTGGTTTGTCACAGTCTGAGGAGAACACAAAACGTTAGACGGGCACAGCTTTTTGGGGAGACTTAAATGGAAACTAAAAGGCTTGTACCCACAGCCAAGTCCAGGCGTTGTCTTATGCAGTTGATTTCCTTGCTTACTTGGAAATCAGAGGCCAGGATGGGAATTCCCTCACTTAAGTTAGACTTCTGAAAGCAAAATGCTTGAGTTTAAGCGTGTCCCTTGCAGCCATCTTTCTAGTCAGTGGAGAAAAAGAGCCATTTGAAGAAATCATCTCATTTTCAGACAGACATCTGCACAGGGCAGTTTGTCTGACCTACTTCTATTCGGACATCTGACTCCTCAAGCTGGGTGAGATGGGTCACCACCAAGCTGCACGTGGTTAAACAGGACAGGTTTGAATATGCCCACATTCGTGTCCAGCACCAACACACCTTGCAATCTCACCCGAAGAAAATGGCCCCAGCAGGCAGGTAGGCTACGGGCTGAAGAGAAGAGAAACTTCCACAAAGAAATAAAGCCACTGCCTGCTGTCCTAATCACATGCATCTGTTCAGTTGGAGCCACCCTTTAGAAAGAGGGCATAAAACCCTGGCTCTGCTGCAGTAATAGCTGTACTTGCAAGGACTTAGGACCTGAAATCAACAGTCCTTAGTGGAAGCCTTGACAGCAGGCACCATAAAAGTCTATTTCTGTCTACGCATTTAGCCACAGGGACTCTAGGGCATCCAGTTTCTGCAAAACATCCCTGCAGCGCTGAGGGAACAGGGGGAGATGCATGTGCAGCAGTGTTTGGCACTCGTTTATGCTTTTGGGAGCCCTGCTGGGACTGTCAGGACAGTCAAGGCTCCTGCTACCTCTGGGTTAATTCTGGAGACCTCCGAGCATGTCCACACTTGGTTTGCCCTCACCTCTGTAAAACAGCAAGGCAGAGCAAACATGCTGAGATCTCCAAGCGGGGAGAGCTCTGGGTGTGTCCATACCCAACTATTATTCTGATGCTTTTGTGAACATTTTGTTCCAGCTTAGCATCTTTGGAAGGGCCGGGCTTGTTTTTTAGGCCAGGTTTTCTGTACTCTGCTGCAGCACAGCAACAGCAAAAGGAAGAGAAAGAGCTCTTCCCAGCCAACCATGGGTCTCTCTGTCCAACGTAAGGCCACCAAGCTGACCAAGGGACTGCAGCACCTATGAGGAGAGGCTGAGAGAGCTGGGACTGTTCAGCCTGGAGAAGGGGAGGCTCAGGGGGAGCCCATCAGTGTCCATAAATACCTGAAGGAGTGTGCAAAGAGGATGGAGCCAGGCTCTTTCAGTGGTGCCCAGGGACAGGAGAAGGGGCAATGGGCACAAACTGGAACACAGGAGGTTCCCTCTGAACATCAGGGAGCGCTTTGTGCTGTGCAGGCGACCAAGCAATGGCACGGGTTGCCCAGAGAGATTCTGGCGTCTCCTTCTTGGAGATCTTCATATGCGCCTGGACATGGTCCTGGACAGCCTGCTCTAGGTGGCCCTACTTGAGCAAGGGGTTGCACAAGGTCATCTCCAGAGGTCCTTTCCAACCTCAGCTGCTCTGTGATTCTGTGATCCTGCGTTGGCACTGAGCAAGTGAGAGGTATGGTGGCAAATGTTCTACTTCAGCTTCAATTAAAGACCCATGTACTGGGAGCAGAGTGTCGTGCTTGTAAACAGGTCCAGAACTGGGCATCGCCTAAGGATGTCAAAGTTGATCAGACAAGGAGAGGTGAAGTTCTGTGCTGGTGTGTGCTTGCAATTGCATCACAAGCAAACCATAGGAGATTATGTGGGGTGTATTATATGGATGGACATGAGCACACCTTTAACAATGCTGCTTGCTTATGGGTAAAATACATACTGGGGAAACTGCAGCATGAGAGCAGACTCAGGGGCTGCAGCCCATCTAATGTTGGGTGCCTTGGAGGACTTCAGGGATAAGAGGGAGCAACTTCTGAAGGGAGGGCTGTGGGACTGGGGCCATTTCATGCAGCTTCCTCCTCTGCCTCTGATTCCCCACAGACATCACACCTTTCCCCATTTCTTGCCTGTGGGTTGTGAACTTCTGGTATGTTACTTGGTTTCAGATTGTTTTGTTTCTTTGGTCTGTTATGTGAGGAGAGGCCAGACAGTCTGGGCTGCAAATACAAGTCTGGATGTCAGCATAAAGCTCGGCCTCACAGAGACCAGCGTTTGGGTTCAGAGCGATCTGCATCCCTTCACATATGGGTCTTTGGCATTTGTGGCTGCCCATCTCTTTTGTTAAGTGGCAAGGAAATAAAACTTTCGCTTTTCTTTCAAACAAAATGATATTTGTTTTTCTTTTTGCAAAATTGCTGAAAACAGGGCAACAACTGTAGCGGTAATTAAATGCATGAGTCAAAAGCCAGCCACAGTGCAAAATCAGAGAAGAATGTGGCTATGAGAATGAGAATAAACTATTGCTGACTTGGACCCAAAATGCCAGATGAAGAGACTGAAATAAGCTGTAAATGCCAATGAACCATGTCTTGGGTTTCTGTTTTGAACACTGTCACTTTGATTAGTGCTTATCAGAAGTGGCTCAGCTCTCAGCTTCTCAGTAAGGAGGGCAACCAAAGTTTAAAGCTGTTAGACTATCTACCTCCAAGATAATGCAATACACATTTGATATGCAATTATGACCTTTGGATGTACAAACTCCTCTTTTTCTGCCTGGCCGGTGCTGGCTGCGAGGGCAGAGGCAGGGAGCAGTTCCCTCTAGTGGCTGCACCAGCAGGGATTTCCTTTAGCACACAGTAAGGCTCGGTACCACCGTGCTGAAATTGGTGAGCACATGCCCGACAGATGATTTTCTCAGCGATCTGTGTCTTTATATAGTTTTTCTTCTGTCTTCATACGAGATTATAGGACTCAATGGGCAGCTACTGTTTCTGTGTACAGAAAGCAGCATGGTATTTCTTTCAATGCATATGGTTCGTGTCTGATTTTATTTAAAGAGAACTAAATGCTTTTCTTCCTACTTATCTAATCCTTAGTAGACAATCTAATACTTTGCCTCCTGTTCCTCCCTCCATAAAATCAATCTGTCTGCTTTTCTGTGAGTATCAGATCTCATTAATCCATGTCCTATAACCAAAGAAAGGAGAGCCCTCTTCTGATTCAAATCATTAACTCACCAAAGAGAAATATAAGCACATTTCTCAGGCATTGTTAAAAAGTCAAAATTAACAGAAAGCAGGCAGAAACTACTACTTAATGGCTCACAATTACTGTAATGTATTGGGAATAAATGTCACTTCTTTTCTAGCTGAGAAATCTCAAAGAATGGGCAACAAATGTTGCTTGAACTCCTATCTTTTTGAGTAAGGGATTTGGTGAGCCATGAGACTAATGAAGCTTGAGTTCTTGTGCATTTGTGCTGCATCCTTGCGTGGAGACCGTCACACATTATGGGTGAACCCCCGTAATTTCCACTTGACGGAGGCACAAAAGGGGTTCTTTCCCTTACCTGGTTGGTTGTTTTTGCCAAAACTTGCCTGAGATTAATGCTGTGTGAACTTTTGCCCTCTTGTCAAGCTTGGCTGAGATCAGCCGCCTAAGAATTATTAGAAGGGGAAAGACAGGCGGAAATACATAAACAGAGACTGTGTGAAGAAAACCCTTTCCCTCAAGAAACCATGTTAAATCTGCTTTTCAGGATAGCATTTATTTCCTGCACTTTTCTCTGCCTGTCTAAGAGAAATAAACTCTTAAACCACCTTGCTACTTTAATTCCGGGCTTTCCCACGTTTAGATTAGTGATGGAAATGGAGCTGCTAAGTGGCCGTTGGTCTTTAAAAGAAGCAGGGCCAAATTTTCCTTCAAGTTCAGACCTGACGGTGACATTTTTGTAAACACCATGTTTAACAAAAGACATCTCAGCAAGAAAAGAGTGTTTTTAGCGTTACCTTTTTTCCCAGTCAGCATCTGGAAGAATTTGGGGCAGGGAGCATCGACAGTCTGTCCCACAGCTGATGAAGGCCAGCAGCTCATGTTATCCCACATTCCAGCACATCTGCCTGGGGGCAGCAAGGAAACACCATCAAACTTCTCCCAGCGAGGACACACCATGCAACACCTCCCAGCAATGCAACACCGTGAAACATCTCCCAGAAATGCAACAGCACGCAACAGCTCCCAAGGACCAAGGCAGCTATGGGAACAGAGACACTCAGTACCCTGAAAAGCAAGCTGGATGAGACAGAACAAGTCCTGCTGAGACCTATCGAGACCTAGATGGGACAGAACAGGTCCTGCTGGCTTCACGCCATACCCTTGCAGGCTCCAGACCCGTCCCACTGAGGTCCTTGACTGCACTGGTCTCTACCAGCTGGACAGAGAAAGTTGGGCCATGGGGAGCCTAGCACCAGGCCCTTGGCTACCAGTCTGTCTTCTGGTAACTAGTGAATAGCCCTGGAAAGATGAAGGAAAACAGATGTCAAAAATTTAGCTCACTTTTCAACCCTTCTAAAGCTTCCACTTTGAATCAGCCTGATGTTTTCCTTACATAATCCTTGTGTAAACACAGAAAGGCACAACGTGACTAGGAGTTTAAACAGCTTCAGAATGATACTGGGGAAAGGGCAGAGAGGAACAGCATTGTACAAGCATAAATACTCTGCCTTTAATTCATCTCTTTCATTATGTCCAGCCAGTGCTGGAGTGAATAACACCAATAAACCACGGACTGGGTTCAGCTGTGGGTATCAATGGCTCTTCTGCTGTTGGAGAGCAAAACTTCACTAAGCTCTTCCCCAAGGCTGTGAAGGGAAGATCACCACATTTACAGGCCAGGGGAAAATGTAAATCCTCTGTTCATTTGTGCCATTTTTTTAAGGACATGAGCATGCAGCAGAGACAGCACTGTGGCAGCTTGTCCCTTGCTTTGCCTTTCTTCCTGCTCCTCCACTTGGTGCTGCCTGCCCACACCAGGCAAAGCTTCTGGGGCAGCAGGTGCAGGAGGGATGGGGTACGGAGGGTTAGCAACACCCTGCAAAGCCCCTGCTCTGTTTCCCTGTATGGTACACCAAGGGCAGGCACTGGATCCCCAGAGCTTTGTTTCTCTTCTTCAGACTGAAGTCCCCGTATAGGATTTTCTCCACACAGACCTCGGAAATGCAGATAAAAAAAGGATGGAGAAATGTGTATAATAAAAGCATTATTTCCTGGAATAAAAGCGTAATTCTATAATTCACCAAGGTAACAAACCCTCCTTCAGTAAAGACTAGCAGAAGGAAATTCCTGTGCTCTCTCTTCAGAAGCCATTACCTGGGGACAGCTGTGCATCTTCCACCTCTTTATTTTGGGAGGGATTCACTGTCAGGAGAAGCTGTGTTTGCAGAGCTACAGCAATGGAGAGGGGCTTAGTCACTCTGGCCACTTCCAGCTTAAAGCTTTCTGCTACGTGGGTAGCCCCAAGCTCATGTCAGTGTGACCTGTTTGATCTGTTTTGCAGAGGTTAAAGAGGCATTTTGACGGCCACTGGAAATGCTTCCTCAAAGGTTTAACACGGAGCTATAGTTTTAACTTGTTTCTTTGGGGAGAAAGGCACAGAGAGTAGGGGTGTCCTGTATTAAAGTATCTAGGGGGATGTTTAACATTTGGATCCAACTTAATCCAACTAGATTAAGTTTCTTTTTATATTCGATGAGTCAGATCTGCATTCCGGAATATCTGCCAGCCTGCCACGAAGTACCCTGTAACTTCTGCTATATGGGCGTAATGCCCCAGGGCAGTCTCACACCCCTCAGGCTGAAAGGGAAAACACAAAGACAGAGAAAAAGGCTAGGCATGCTACGAAAACAGGCAATAGATCTATATCTAATAGGAGCAAGGAAGATCTTCAGGTACTCATTGTTTTTGAAGGCAAATACAGCTGAGTAACTTTGTACTTAGTGGGCTGACTTTATAAAAACATCCTTGTCTAAGGTGAGAATAACTCCAAATCCTCTCCAATTCACAACATTTTGTTGCTGATATGTTCTCTAGCTGTGAAGACTGCAAACCACTGACCTTGAAGTCTCATATGATTACCATTTGCCATCACAGTAAGGTTGAATCCTGCTCTCAGAGCCTTGCAACACATCTTACCTGTTTTTCTGCTCCTCACGGAGAGGCACGCATGGGGTGCATGCCTCCTGTGGGAAGGAATGTGGGGGTACTGAGGCCACTCGGCTGACCTGAGAATGGTTTTCACCTTGCACATTCCCCCACCCTTTACCTGATGTCAGGAGCAGATCATTTTCAGGTGTCCTGTTCCTCGCCTCCAGGGACAGAGTCTCAGCACAGTTTTCTTCCTCCTTTTTCAGGACGCTCAGGAGGTCACAGATAGGTGGGGCAGCCCTGATCTGCAAATTTGAAAAGCAATACAATCACTTTTCTTCCTAAAACGTGCGCTCCCTCAACAGGATTCGCCCCCCTTGTCCTCACATTTTCCATGCGATGCCGTCAATTGATTGTGGAGGGTATTTCCTTGAAATACAGTCAATTTTCTTAATTAAGTCTGCGTTTTTATGATAGCAGTAGGCAACCACAGATTCAGCTCCTGTCTGCTCTCATTTGCTGAGGTTGTTATTGAGAGAAATGAGTCTGTTATTCTGCTAAATAAAGTACCCAGGCATGCTGCTGTTCCCCAAACCTGCAGAAGCATCCAGGGCACTGCTGGATGCTCGTGGAGCAACGGAGAATTAATTATCCACCTCTGGCAGTATCAAACCACAGACCCTTGCAGTTTGTTTCCCTGGATGACATTTACTTGCATGGCTGGCCCAAATATGTCCACTGGCTGCAGACCACCCAAGCCTGTTTCACTGCTACAGATCACGGAGCTGCAGGAGCCAAGCTGACTGCTAGCAGAGTCTCAGGGAATTTTTTTGCGAGGAAACCGATCGTAAATTGGCCCGAGCACACCATGCCACATTCCTCTTTCTCCATCCTCCTTTCTCACAAGGAAGGGCTGAAATGTTAGTCTTAACGCGGTCCTGAAGCAGCAATTAAATGTTCGGTTAATGTTTTATGTAGGTGGGCCAAATTGAATGTACAAAACAGCTACCCACCATTAACATGTATTAAAAACCAGTGCAAAATGATTTGTAGGACAAGATTCCAGTCTTAATATCTTACAGTATGTTTGTTGAAAACTGTCCCCAGAGCCTGGGATGTTTCAGCTTTCAGGCAGTATCCAGAAAGTCACCCTGAATCACTGTGGGACGCTCTTCCAGGCACATCAGGCACCCCTAACATCTGTATTTGTCCGAATCAAAACCCATAAATCTGATTTCCAGCTGTAACAGACCTGCTTGGTCCCCAGTGAGTGGAAAAAAGTACTTTCGCTATTTTTGCCTTGTTCCATCATTTATGACAATCAAAGTATTGAATACAGCCAGGTTCCCATTATAACAAAATAACAACAACAAAACTTTATAAATTCCCATTATAGAAATTGTATGCAGATATATACATACAAGTGTATATATACATGCATACTTAAAAGATTAAAAACAAGTCATCGGGATGTATTAGTTGAAATTTTTATAAACAGATTTTTTTAATACATTTTGAGTGGGAAAAGGTAACCCGGCAGCATCATGTTACTGCTCAACCTAACCAGTCGTGTAGAATTGCTGATCACATTCTGATTAGTTTTAGGAAAAAAAGAAAAATCAGACCAAATTCCCAATTTTATTACTTGGAAGTATTTGGGGTACTTGCATTTCTGAACTAACTTTGATATTTTCAGCAGTGTTTTGTGCCTTGTCTAATTGGTATATTCTATTTTACTGCAGCATCTTTCTCCTTCATTGTTGTGCATCCTGAAATAAAGAAACTTAAAACCATTCATTTGTGCATGATGTATGAATTTTCTTGAATCACTCCTGCAAAGAACTCAGGTTAAATAAACTATTCTCTGATACCAGGATTTAGATACATTAAATCCATTTAATCTTTGAAAAGTTGGAAATGTCCAGCTGGAGTAACATGGCTAAAGAAAGGTAACTGCATTGAGTAGTTTCAGTTGTTAGCTGAAGGCTGAATTTGATCATTGTGTAAATATTGACAGATCTTTCAAAATGTATTATTTATCACTCTCTGTCATTATGTATTTGATTACCAATAGTAAAGCAATTAACTACATTTTCATAATACACAAATAGAAGTGCAACTGTCCAAAAGTTACCTTGAAATTGTGTTAAAAATCAATATTAGCGTTAAACATTTAAAGCAGCCAACGGAACCTGTTTGGAGTGCATGTGGGTTGCTCATCACGATACTGAATGCATGTAAAAATAAACATTAGCCACCACCTGAGTGATGATCTCAGTAACAGGAGTATTTTTCACCTTAAAAAAAAATAAACATCCTGCGGGTGCTGCTTCCTTTTTAGAAAGGTATGTCCTAAGAGAGCATTTGTTTCGGAAAGATTTTTAATGCCTGCTTTATTTTCCTTCTAGAATAGGGCTACATGCTGGTAGCATATCCAGAGGTGAAGACCACCTAGACAATTATTTTTTTTAATAAAATGTTGCTCGAGCAGGAGCATGGTGTAATCAATGCCTTCCCATTACTCTTTGACCCAGCAGAAGGATGTTGACTTTTCTCTCTGGATCAGACACCCCTGTCTGACACCAGACCTGGTGGCAACTGGATTTTAACCCTGGTGAGAGCAGAGAGCCCAGAGGTTCTGGCTCAGGCACGTTGCTTCCCACAGCCTGCCTCCCTCCTCTCTGCAAATCTGACTAGATGGGCCACAACTGTTTGCAGAGCACCCTGAAATGTGCCATTAATGGGCCACCTGGCCCTGCCTCTGCCCTGGCATCTCCACACACGTGTGTGCCTTCCTCGTGTGTGTCCCACTGTCTGCTCGTGTACAGGCACTGCACGTGTCCTGAGGGCACCTTTTACTCCAGAAGGAAAATCCACTCCTGTAGGTGTGGATTCTCCATCTCTTCCTAAATATTTCCCTGAAGCAGCTCCCAGGTTGTCAGATTTTGATAAAGGGGCAAGGCATCCTCTTATTTTCTATACTTCTTATTTCTTTAAAGAAAATGTAACATATCGAAACCATTCCAAACAGAAATAGTTGTGCTAATTAGATGTCAAGAATGCACAGAAATCTGCAATTTGTGATACCACTGGCACAACCAACTACATTTCTTAACCTGTGAATGAGTGGATCTAAACACAATTTAATATGAATAGTATTTGCAGCCACAGAATTCCCAGATGTATGAATTCGAAAATAAGTATTTATAGTTTAATGAGAGGGCTTAAGGGAGAACAAAGGATGCCAGGCTAAATGCTGTAAACAAAATCTGTATTTTGAAGGACTAGAAAGGGAGCAAGTAGAAGGAGGTGGTCTCAGTGGCACCTCGAGTGGAGACATCTATTTACAGAGTCCTTTGGGTAGCACGTAAGAATAAGAAGCCCAAATGACAAGAAAATCAGCACAGTCATTTTTTAATTATTGAATGCAATCAGAAGGTAAAGCAATGCAGGCTGCAGTCCCTGTGCAATTAAAACACCCTGGCACCGCTCAGGTTTTGTCAGAGTTCAAGCCGAATCCCCTGCTGGGACAGAGTGAATTTCCAAGTGGTTGCAGCAATTCTCTGTATTGACCAAGAGTTCAACCATCTCCCAGCTTCTTACAGCTGAGCTGGGCATATTTCAGTCTTGGTTTTCTGTGTTTTGCAAAATCTGAAACACCCGAGCAGCTCAGAGATCATACCTCAGGCACAGCAGTGGCCGTCCATCACCTAAACTACCACTAAATGGGTAAAGCCAAAAGAAGGGAACCAAAATGCGTGGGGCAAACACCACCTTACACTCCTTCAATCTGAGTCAAGTGAGGCATTGGCAGTGGTGGGCATTCCTGAGGGGATTGTTTGCTTCTGTAAACCAGCAAAGTTTCTCGAAACAGCATCAAGTCCTCCCTCCTTCCTCCCAGCACCGGCTGAGTTTACGAAAGCAGGTTGTGCAGCCGGGGAAACTGAGGCACCCAGCATCTGGCAGTCTGGACAACGTCAATTAGTGCAGGAAGCAGCAGAAGCAAGAGTAATAATAATAATAATAATAAAATCCCAGCTTATACACAGACATTTTAAAATTACGATGCCACAACTTAACGGCACAGAGATGCACTTATTCAGACACCACGATTCCATGCAATTCGCAATAAATAGCCCCGAGCACCTACCAGGACGGTTGAAATCCAGAAGATGATCACCCAGGCGGTCCACATAGTCACTCAGTCTGCTTCCTTCATCCTTCATGCACCAGAGGTCACCAGGCTGTCTGCGTGCTCTCCAGCCTGGCTCTCAGCTCCTTTCACTTCATTCCTTTCCCTCCTTGCTTTTTTTCCTTCCCAGCTTTGACCATCCCGAGTCAATGTTTCTCTCCAGCTGCCGAGCCCCAGAGAGCATCAGCAATGACAGGACCCCCCCGTCCGCCCTCCAAGCTCTCCTCCTCCTCCTCCTCCGCAGTTGCCTCCTGTCCCAAGAATAACAGCACCTCTGTTGAGCATGTTCCTACTATCGTCTGCCTCCCTTCCCGGCTATTACTCACTGCTATCGACGGGTGTCGGGAGGGAAGGATCATTCCTCATGCTCCCATGATAAGGGACCAAGCAGGGCTCCCGGCTAAGATGTCAGCCCCACAATGGCACGGGTAATCTATCAAGGGGAAATAGTCATTAGCACAGAGCGCAGCCCGGGGAGGACCCAGCCCTGGAATAAGCGCCCTGCTGGGAAACAGGGTTTGAGGAATGCGATCCAGGCTGCCGGCACCGCTCCTGCTCCCGGCGGCTCTGCACGTGCCTCCCACAGCGAGCTCACATCCCCGGGCGCTGGGAATCGGGAGGCTGGCAGAGGGAATCGGGAAGCTGGCACAGCCTGCTGCAGCAGGTCCAGCTTCACACGCCTCCTGCCCAGCCACCGGTGCTGGAGGTGAGCTAGAGTTTGGGGTTAGGTTATCAGAGAAAGGGTACAAAGAGGATCTGGTCTTCCCACCGCTTCCAAAGGGGGCTCCAAACGCCCCCTGGACTCCAGCCTCTCATCCAGCATCCAGAGAAACAGGCGGTCTGCATGTGGTCCTGATGCTACGGGCTGTGAGAGCCTCACATTTGGGTCCTCGTGGTACCTGGTGGTGGGGTGTTCCCCATAGGCAGCTCCCTGGCGGCAGAGCATGCTTTATTTCTACAGGTTTAGTTTCTGTGGAAAAACTGCTACAAAGGTGTGCTTACCCAGGGCGTGGGCACCCAGACACCAAGGCAGGCACTCCAAACGGGGCTTGCCAAGTTTACTTGTAGCACAAAAAGGAACACGGCCGCAAGAAAGAGCTGAAGTTTGCAGCGTGCACTAGTGCCCACTCTCAGAGCACTTTTCCAATTTACCATCTCCCGTCACTCCAGACATAGGCCAAATGTGACGAGGGGCTCCCCAGGACATCGGGTCTGCTCTCCGGTCTGCTGGTGGTGTGCTCTAGAGCTCCTATTTAAGTCAAAGGCTGTGACTGTAAGGCATCTAGCTTGTTACCTGTGCACAGAAAATCCCATCATTGGATTGAGCAAGTCACCTGCCAAGCAGCGTAACAAAGGGATCTAGATTTTCTAGAGAGTCTTGTCCCCTTTCCTGTGCCCACTCCAACCACATGAACTCCAGCTCATCTCTCCATGTGCTCCCCAGGACAGCTAAATTGCAGCACTCTGCTTCCCCTACACACTTCCCTCATCTCTCCCTGCACCCCCAAAGTCACCAAGCTGTGGCTGGAGAAGAGGTACCACGCTATGGCTGTCCTGCCCAGCCGAATTGGCCAAAGGGTTAAACAGATTGTTAAAAGGAGGTATGAGAGGCAGCCAAGCAATGTGATTATAGTAGTCTGAAGAAACCGCATTGGCAGTGCTGCATCATCTCAGTGGGCTGCTAAGTCATTCTCTCTCTTCCTTTGGCTCAAATAAAATTTTATTATTCTGTTGTTATTGACACAGCTTCCCCTGAAAGCCACCGCTCATGCTTGTGTTTGTGGCATCTATGCAGCTTTGCTTCTGAAAGCACTTTTAGATGGGTGTGTGTGTGTGCATTTTCTGATAGAGGCAATGGTTGCCCAGGGGCTTTGAAGAGCCAATGCTGGATTTAAACACCAAGAGACTGAATGAGGACCCGATATTTTGTGACCCTTGCATTATATTTATGTGCAGGCTGAGGGCTCAAAAGACGATGAATACAAGATAAGACCTGGAAAACTCTCACCTGTGCAAACCTTTGCTTGATGTCAGCACTGTGGGAGGGCCACGCTGTGCTGGGAAACCTACAAGCAGTAGCAGACTACAGAGAATTATTATTAGCAGAGAATTATTAGTAGAGATTTATTAGCAAGAACACACAGATCCCAAAACAAGGCGTTGCTCTATTAAACAGAGTAGCATTGCACTTTGCTACATTCATCCCTACCCAGCAGATCTATTTTAACTTTGTCACAGCTGGAATTTGTTTCAGTAATCTAAACCAGAAATGAAACACTGGAATTTGTTCATGCAATCTTGAAATACTTCAAATGGTAACTTGAGCAGTGAATAAATTAATTTGCTTTATGTTACTTTGATTACAGGATTATTTACTTATCAAGTACCTTAACGAACCTCAATATTAAATATTTATTAATACATAAAATTTCCATTAGTTCTTCAGTCTAATCATTCATTTTTCTCCCTCCTTTGCTAAAGAATTGTTTGTACTCCCTGTTTTACAGCTTGACAACCAGGCCATGCATTTTTCCTCTGATATTTGGAATATAGATATAAAATCAAGGTAAGACTCACCTATTTAAATCCCAATTCAAAATCCTTATTTACACTAACCATCCCAAGGAAATTTGAAGAGTTGTTGGCCAATAATCCTCTGTTTTCAGCTACCTTTTCCATTTATTTCCCACCTCTCAGGAAACCTTACAGAGTGCTTTTCCACCAGAGGTGCATCACATTCATCTCCTCTGATGTGGAAGTGGAGATGGATTTGGTTGCACACTCCATTATGACCGTGCAAATAGAGAGACACACAGGTGAATCATGTTTTCGTGGGAGGAGAAATATGTTAATACACTATTTGCTCCACTATATTCCCACACCATTTTTCTTGGGAGAGAGAAAAAAAAAAAAAAAAAAAAAAAAAAGGCAAAACCACCATAGAGCTAAATAAGTTCAGTGTGGGACACTGTGATTAAGTTCTGGAGCTGGTGCTTCTGTTCTCGTACCAAATTGTACCATGCAAAAAAGGCAGGTTTTGCAGAGATCTGTCCCCAGAGCCACAGGCAGCCCGGCTGCAGCTCTCCCACAGATCTGTCCTGCAGGGGGGAAGAATTTCAGCCATCTGCCTGGCTCTTGGGCTGTCAGGTAGAGAACAAACTGCTGTCAGCCCTAGCCGCAGCTGTTTACATAGCTGAGGTGAAGGCATAACTTGGAAAAAGGCCGGCTGCCTTTCTCCTCTCATACTTGACCAGACCAAAGCTGCGCACAAAGCAGAGCTGCAGCTGTGGGTGCCAGAGCCCAAAAACCCCAGTAGGCATTGAGTGGGCAGGAGGTGGGTGGTTTCCAACCCAACTGAGTTTTGCACGACTTCTGGTCATGTTTCACCTGTTAGAAGTGCTGAAAGAGGAGAATTTTGTTCTTAGAGAATGTAAGAGGATAAAAACCCAGTTCGGGAAACACCTCTGGTTTCCTATGATGTGTGCCCTCAGACCACTGTGGAGACAACAGAGGGTCTACAAGCATGTTGGTGCCCAAGACAACCATGATGAGCTCCTGGCAGGAGGGGCTGGGGCACACGGCTCTCTCACATGTCCTTCGTTATCCCATTTTGTTATGATTATTTCACCTAATGCAGAACAGCCGTGCAGATCACTGTGGTGTGAACCACTTCGGCTCTTCTGCTGGGAAAGCTAACAGGTGCGGGCCCCAAATAAAAATGCTCACAACAACTGCCAGGACACCTTTATTAACGCGTTTTTAGCCCAGAACCGTTTGGGTGTTAGGAAGAAGCACATCAAACACCCCACCCTCCCTGAGGCGGCCCCTGCGCCGCCATATTGCGGAGCCCAGCGCCCAGCCCGCCGTGCAGCGCCGCCAGGACGCGGCCACTGCTTCTGCCGGGGGGGTTCCCTGGGCCACAGCGGGCGGCGGGATGCCCTCGTACCCCTCTTCATCCCGCTGAAATCCATCCTCTCCTTCTGCATCATATAAAGCACGAAGCCTCCCTCTAGGGGATTTTCTTCTCCGGAACGGTTGCGTCTGGTGGCTGCGGGTCTCACCGTCTCCCCCCGGGGAGGCGGGAGTGGTGCGGCCCGCTTGGGCTGCCTGTTGCCCAGCAACCGTGGCGGCCCCAGCGGCGCTGAGGTGAGCGGGGCCGGCCTGAGGGGGCCGTGGGGCCAGCGGGGGCCACCAGGGGCTACCAGGGGCTGATTTGGGGCCACCAGGGGCTGCCTCCGGACCCCAAAGGTCCCCAGGGGTTGGGGCAGGACCTGCAGCACCCTCCGAGGCGGTGTGGGGAAACTCGAAGCCCGTCTGTCCGCTCAGAAACGCAGCTGGTTTAATAAAAGCGTGTGTCCTGTCACTTGTAAAGCCACAGGAGGAAGAGGAGGGGTCGGTCGTACCCTGGCCTCGGTGACTTTGGGGGGACTTTTGCCGTTGCCTCCGATGGGACCAGGATTTCACAGCCGCGGAGATCTTGTGGTGATGATTTTGCACATTTTAGTCTGGAGAAGGGGAGACCTTATTACTCTCTACAACTACCTGACAGGAAGGTCTGGGGAGTTGGGGATTGGCCTCGTCTCACAGATAACTGGTGATAGGACTGGAGGGAATGGCCTCGGGTTGCACTGGGGAGGTTTAGCCTGGAAATGAGGAGACATTTCTTTTCAGAAAGAACAGTGAGGCACTGGAAGGGGTTGCCCAGGGAGCTGTTGGCATCACCATCCTGAGCTGTGCGCCCACTTTCCCATTTGTGAAGAGCAAATACAAAATGAAGCATCTCGAGGGATGAAAAACCAAGCGTGGCTGCCTTTGAGCTCAATACTTTTGCCAAAAGTATCTTGTCTTTTTCTCCACGCAGTTCATAGGAGAGCCAAGGGCCATGTGCTGAATTTAGGAAGATAATTTTGTGCGGATGGATAGTGTCTGGTGTCCTGATTGTGCAATATTTGCTCTTGTCATTAGAAAAGTTTATGTTCTGATAACTGTGCTTACTTAACACCAGATCTATAATACCTTTGGCCTTCTGGGTTTACAGTTATCTTCACTAAACAAATAACCCAACTGATGCTATCTAAACAAAAGATTGAAATGCCAATTTTCTTATCCCTCAAATTAATATTTAAAAGTTAAAAAAGAATCTGGAAGTTAATAACCCAAACACTCGGGAGACATTGGGAGAACATCTCTGCAGAAATCCGTTTGGATTGTGGCATTATCAGAAGAGTGTTCTCTTCTTGTCTGTGCTGGGGGACGTGAAGGAGGAGAGAGATGTCTTGAAAGCCAAACATCCCCAGTAGCCCCTGGAATAGCTGGAGATGCCCTAAGTGCTAGGGCTTGCCATGTGAGTGAGGTTTCCTGGAATCACCCTGTCCTGCAGATGTGTTAGTGCGCTGTCTCTGCAGCAGACCCTTTGGGGTCTGCTGTGGAAAGCTGGGGTGAGCCACATTTCCTTGGGCACAGCTTATCGGCTCACACATGTCCTGCCCTGTTGGGGTGCCAGGCCTGTGCTGCTAATGGCACAGCTGAAGATCACTGTCTGCCGGGACGTGGTATGGCATCTGAAAATCCTGTGGAAGGGTCTTAAGCAATTGCGCACATCAGCGAGGTAAATAACAAGCTGATGTCTAGTGTTTGGAGCACACTTGTGCAAAATGGGCTGTGTTACATGAAGACTTCTGGTCACAAGCTTGACCTGGGTTGAGGTGGTGGAGTTCTGGTGTATGCCATTCCTTCCACAGCTTGCCTCTTTCCTGGTTCAGCCATGCCCTCTCCAGCAGTGGGATGGATACCGTAGCTATCAGCTTTCTTTGGAAGTTATTGCTGGCTGAAACTATTACCTCGTGTACTGGCTAGACTTCTGGAGCTCTGTGGATGTGCCCACACCTGACCATGAGACCCATGCATCCTGGCTGAGTGTGGATTCCCCAGGGTTCAGTGGCCACGTAACATCAGCAGTAGCACAGAACGTGGCGTCCTGAGGAACTGGCTGTTGGCTCTGTTCCACAATGGATCTAGAGTGGATAATATCAGTAGGAATAATGATGCCAGTCTGCCTGATGACTTGACACTTGGCTCTGTTAAGTGATCGGAAGTTTACTTTCTATTTTTGTCCTCCTTGAGGCATGTTTGGCACTTAGCTGTTTGGTACTTACGCCTGCCAATTACAGTCCAGAGTGTGAGACAGTAACTCCATTGTTCAGGTAGGGGGAAGAATTTTAACTGGTCTTGGGATTTGGTTTATTCTGTAATCTACTTTGGGAGGGAACAACAAAAACTCTCTCTCCTAAATGTTTTTAAACAGTTTTAGCCAACAGATGTTAGCAGTGTAAGGGAAGGCACTTCTGTCATTATGTTGTTTTTATTTGATCCCAGGTGCTGATGAATTTTAGTAGCCTTCAGACTCCGTTTGTGTCCTAACATGGATGTGATTGAATCAGCCTCCACGGAAAACACGATTGCTGAGAAACCCTTCAAGAAGATACCCAGCGTCCTTCTGGACAGCCTAGTGGAGGAACCTAAAAGACGACGTGCTGTCCCCCATCACTTGCTGGAATCAAGTACGTTTGTGCTCTCTGACTGTTCCTAAATGATTGACCCTAAAGTTTTGTGATAGCTTGTGGAAGCCATGAGGAGAGAGATGCCAAGAGATAAAGTGGTGAAAGGATCGTGGATCTGCTTGGGTCATAGATGCCACCATAACTCTCCACTTAAGAGTTATGCCTGCCTAACAAGAGCTCTGTTTCCTTTTTCTCTCTGTAATACATTAGGTGCTACATGAACATATTTGCTAAATGTAAGTAACATTCATTGTGTATGTTTCACCTGGTCTCCTTCCTAATCTCCCCGTCTCACCATCTTTCTTCGTAGAGATTTATTCAGAACGTTACAGGAGCAATGTTGTACAGGCCGAGCCTGCTGTGCTACACTACGGAGGGTATGAAGTTGGAAAACATCACCAACAGACGCTGGTAAGTGTCAGGGCAGGGATCCTCTTGGGGCTTGTAAAAGGATAACAGAAGCCAAGTAGACTGCTTGTGGTCATGAGGCCATTTGCTCTCTGAGTGCTCTAAAGAGCAGCACTTAAAATCAGTGTCCCT